ACGCGGCAGGACCTACCTGCTAGTTGCAAGAGAGTATCTTTCGGGCTGGCCAGAGACTCGTGCGCTCTCGACAGCAAGTTCCGATTCAGTTGCGAAGTTTATCTTTGAAGAGATCTGCTGTCGTTGGGGTGTGCCCGAAAGGATTTCGGTAGACGGCGGAACCGAGAACAAGTCAGTAGTCCAGTCGCTGGCTACGCTCTTTGGTATTCAACGGGTTCAAGCCTCCGCGTATAACTCGCGCGCGCAAGGGCTTATCGAAAGAGGTCATCAAGGCTTTATCCATGGGCTGGCAAAGATGCCGGGCTTGTGGATAGACAACTTGTCAGCAATAACGTGGGCCGAGAGAGTGTCGCTACGAAGACCGCTCGGGTTCTCACCTGCGCAGTTGGTGCTTGGTCAAAATCCGGTCCTTCCGATTGAACTTGTAGTGCCAACGTGGCAAAGCCTACCGTGGAGCGAAGTTCGGAGCCATGCCGATCTTCTTGCGGTGAGAGCTACGCAGCTGCAATTCCGCAGAGAGAACCTGGAAGAAGCAGTCCAACGTACGAGAAGACTTCGGAGAGAAGCTGTGGAGAGCCGCAACGCTAAGAAGGACGTGCCGAAGCCCTTTCAAGTAGGAGACCTAGTTTTAGTTTGGGACGCGATTAAGTCCATCGACAAGAGCTCGGATAGGAAGCTCGATGACAGGTGGAGAGGTCCATACAGAGTTCGGGAGGCGCAGGCAGATAAAGGGTACTACCGGCTAGAGGATCTAAATGAGGTTGCTTTTCCGAATACAACTCGGGCTGATCGCCTAAAGAAATTCGAAGAACTGCCGGAGGAGCTAGAAGATAGCCTGCTGCGAGGGCGCTTGCGGTTGTATCCCGAGACCGAGAGATTGCCAATGGCAAGGCCTACGGCGCCAAGACAAAGGCAAGCGACGCCAAGAGCTGACCAGACAAGAGATGTTCAGGCTGGGGAGGACCGCGAAGGAGAGCAAGACAGGCGAACGATAGTCGGAGGGATAAACCGAGGAAATATCGTGGAAGGTTCAAGAAGGGGAGGGCAAAGCCGGCGCCTCCGGATAGCGCGCGGGGACAGCGACACAGAGTAAGGGAGACAGAAGAGGCTGGGGAGGTTAGCATCACCGAGCAGCTATTGGGGAAGAAGAGAGGCGATCGCTGCCGTGGTTGTAAGGTGAGAGAGCAGTTGAAGGCAGCGGTGGGCTTGCGGAGGGACTTTCAACAAGAACCTCTGGCCTGGACTGGTTATGGGTGTTTCTCGAAATACCTTGAGCCACCTGGATCTGGTTGGCTTGGTGGCCAAGAACATCAACTCCTATAGTAATTTGTTAGTAAATCGATGCAGCCACGCTTTCTAACACCCACAACGTATTTGAAGTTCATTGTTTGCTGCGATCGCCTCTACTGACTCGCGTTTTTGGTGTTGCAATTTTCTCGAGCCCATCTCATCGCGATGCCAGGCACCGGCCACCGCTTGCAGCCCGCTGTTCTCCAGGCTATCCTCGACCGAATTGCTGCCTGCGAAAGTGATCGAGCCATCTCTAGAGCTACAGGTGCGAGCCGTAACACAGTAGCAAAGCTGAGGTTGAGCTTAGAGTTTTGGGGCGTGCCTTATCCGCCGCGCTGCGTTCGACTTGGGCGGCCATCTATACTCCGGCAAGCTCAGCGCGAAGGCCTTCAGGCATACCTCAATGGCTCACCGGGCGCATACATGGATGAGATGAGGGACTTCTTGTACGACGAGTACGACGTTAGGATAAGCCTTGCGAGCGTTTACCGAGAGCTAGAGAAGATGAGATGGTCTCGCAAGCTTGCAACAAAGCGGGCAAAGGAGCAGAGTGAGCCACTCCGCCGCCTCTATCTTGCCAGGATGGCGCAACACTATAAGGCGGAGCAGATCGTTGCGTTGGACGAGAGCGCCTGCAATGAGCGTACGGGCGACCGCAAGTATGGCTGGTCTCCAATCGGGGAGCCGGTGGAGCTATCACACAGCTTCAGGCGATCAGAACGGTGGTCGCTGCTGCCAGCCATGACGATAGATGGCTACATAAGCTATAAGATCTTTCAAGGCGCGATTACATCTGAGATCCTAGAAGACTTCTTAGAGTTTCAAGTGCTGCCGTTCTGCAATCCTCACCCAGGGCCAGCCTCAGTAATCGTGCTTGATAACGCCTCCATCCATCGATCAGAGCGTGTACGGGTGCTTTGCCAAAGTGCTGGAGTACTCCTTGAGTATCTGCCGCCATACTCACCAGATTTCAACCCCATCGAGAAGAGCTTTAAGCAGCTCAAGGGGTGGATGAAAAGGAATTCAGCGCAAGCGGAGAACTTCATTGACTTTGGGGTCTTTCTTGAGTATGCAGCGCAGCTGGTGTGCTGTAATATTAACTGCAGAAGCTGGTTCCATAGGTGTGGCTATCCCTATTAATTGTGCTTTTAAATGGATGCCACAGTACGTTTCTATAGGTAGATGATACCATACAAATGCGAACGATTACACCTTAATGCGCAACCCACAAAAGCGATTTAATAATTCTAAAAAAATAAGAGCTATTTCTATACATATAGAACTATCTTAGGAAGTTAACCTGTTATAATCGCATAACGTTGTAGTGTTGTACATAGGGCTATCCAAATAGACTATTGTTGCAGCGCATTTGAAACGCCTGAAAAACCTCAACACTATAGCGGGCACGGGCCGCTGTCACCAAAAACGCTCAGGCCACTAAGCTTCAAGCATTCTCGCCATCATCCTCCACAACACTGCTAGACGGTTCAACCACCAATTTCTTGCGCGCAATCTCCTCTCTTTTCTTACAACGTTCGACTCGTCTCCAGTTACGATCTGTGAGACCCTGGTACCCAGCTTGCCATTCTTTTGCAGTGTTTTGTAGCGTGAAAAACCAGCCAGGAGGCTGCTTGAAATGCTGCGTCCACAACTTCAAGATATCACCAGATGGCTGCATCAAGAGGTTGATATCCATAGCTCCGTCAATAACAAGAGTCTTATAAAGCTCGTTAATGTCCTCTCCAACTGTAGGAAATTTTAACTTAAGGTAGTTAAAGAAATTACTAGTATGCTCGTTAATCTCCTGCTCATGATCATATCGGATAGGCGCCCACTGAGATGCACTAGATACCTCAGCTCTTGTTATCGTTGGTGCAGCTGCCTGCAAGTTAGACTCCTGTTGAGGTTGCCTGTTCATCCGCTCAAGCTGTCCAACGATGAGCAGTTTTGTTAAGCTTTTGATATCATCGTCGCCATCTCCAGCCGCCCGCAACTTGCGCGTTTTCTCATGCACCCGCAGGTCCTTTGCTCTCAAAATTGCAAGCCGTACATCATCAGATGGCTCATCGTACGTTGCCCTTCTCGCTGTAATTGCTCTTGCCCACATGGAGATAATGTTGCCGTTGACAAAGAGGTGATCTTCGAAGCGCGCTGGCTGCCTCGCTGTTGGCGCCATCCAGCAGCAATAAGGATAGTTCTCGCAATGGGTATCTGTACAGCGCCATCTATCCCGGATAGCAATAGCATGCCCGCTACCTGCTTGTTCAGCTGCTATTACACCAGCAAGCCCCTCCTCTTGAATCACCGTTGCGGTGCGTCGACGAGGACCGTCGACAACCGTTGGCAACGGCTGCTGCTCCCCTGGAATTTCAGCCAAGATGAGCTCGAAATCGACGTTTACTGGCTCGCTGACATAGTTATCAACCTCTACAACAAGGCGCTGAAAGCTATTCCACGTTGCATCAACACCTCGCCGCAATCGCTTTATCGCGCGCTCGCGTTTGGCCTGCTTAGCTGGGTAAACAACAGTGCAAACAGATGAGATCTTCGCTCTTTTTGGCCGTAATTCTGCAACAACGTCATCTACCCACTGCCATAGGTCGTCGAAATGCAGCGAGTACAGCCGTACGCCGTGCTCGCTATCGGCAGCTTCAGGAATAAAGTGTTTCTCCATATCACCACCAAGGCAAGCCCTCCACCTAACGCGCAGTACAGGATTAACCTCATCCTCTAGCGCTTGCGATGAGCGAGGCAGCCATGGAGTGCCTTCTTGACGTCGGTACGCTGGCTCTCCCTCATCCTCAACACTACCGGCAGCGCCCTTAGCAGCGATCTCATCCTCATCCTCAGGCAGCGGATCGCCATCTCCATCCTCGAAAGTATCCTCATCCTCGCCAACGATATCTTCAGCTTGCGCGGAGGCAGCTGTTTGGGTGGCTTGCAGCTCAGGCTCGGACAACGGGCTTTGACGGCGCGGCGGGGCAGTCGCTGGAGGCGACGGCAGCGCCTCACGGCGGACACGTTTAGGCGTTAAATGGGTAGGATTTTGTCTAGTTGCTGGCGCTCTACGCTTCTGGGAGGACGGGTTAACGCCTTGATCGAATGGCTGCTTCGGCTTACGCTGGCGCTTGGGCGGCATCCCAACAGCAGCTAGATTGAGCTCGCAACAAGCTCCACACAAACAAAACGCTATACACGAACGATTTAGAGTACAGGACTAGCTTCATGGGCTTCTGGAGGTGGGAAACGGCTGCTGCATTAATTTACTAACAAATTACTATGGGAGTTGATGTTCTTGGGCACCAAGCTAACCAGATCCAGGCGGCTCAAGGTATTTCGAAAACCACAATAAGAGCGCTTCGGAGGTGGAGGAGCAAACGCGAGTGTTTGTCAGGAAGGCAGCATGGTTGCAGGTTGCGGCAGGCATCGCGAGACAGTCGGAGGAGTCGTCGAAAGCGGGTCGGATAGTTTTGAGAGGCATTCGGCAGCTTGAGGGGACCAAGCTGGAGGCTGGGGAGGAAAATGTGGTGTAGTAGCTTGTCACGTGTTCGGCGTTAGGTAATCGGCGCTAGGGTTGAGTATTTTAGGACGACTCCGCGTAGAGGAGCTCGACAGTTATCGTACACCATTCTTAATACTACCGTTTATTGTTCGGATACCTTCTTGTTCTCTACTCTCTACCGATTGCGGGTCGGCAGCCTCTCTTCTGACTATTGAGGCTATCCCTCTACCACAATAGTTAGTAGATAAATACTTTATTTAAATGCAAGAGAGGAAGTAGGAGGAGATAGACGTGGTGATAGAGGAGGACGGCAGCGTCAAGAACACGGTGGACGAACACCTTGTTCAAATACAAGAGGTGAAGCAGGAGGAGATAGACGTGGTGATAAAGGAGGACGGCAGCGTCGTGAAAAGGATGGATACCCGCGCATTGATGCGGTTGTATGGGCACCCTCTTCTCCAACATCGCCACCATGCCACCCAAAGCCACCCCTGACGCCAGCCAAAAGATGTCCTCGCCGCCGTCCTCTGCAGCACCGGCACCACCAGCCTGGCCAACAAGAATTACGAGATGATGAGCGTGCTCGACGGCATTGCCCGCTTCTGCTTCTGCTCTTGGACCTTGGCTTTCTCTTTCATAACAGCAGTCGTAGACAACTTGGCGTTAGCTACTACTAGCCTCGCAATCTTAGCTTACTTCTTCTTCTCCTTAATAGTTTTCTTAAGCTTCTCGTATTCTACTATATGTAAGTGTCTTGTGAAGAGCTTTGCTGTTTCGAGGAACTCGTCCTCTACTATCATCCATTAATCGTCACGTAGATCGAACCTGGAAGAAGACGGCAAGTGCATTCCAGAAGCCTAAAAGAGGAAGATAGTGCGTGATCTCGCCACATATTATGAAAGACGTCGAATAGATAAGGATTAAGGCCGCCGCTACCGCTACCGCTATTTTCTTCTTCTTCTTCTTCTTCTTCTTCTTCTTCTTCTTCTTCTTCTTCTTCTTCTTCTTCTTCTTCTTCTTCTTCTTCTTTCTCTATTCGACGTCCTTTAAGGGTGCTAAAGAAGCCAGAAAGAGAAAGATAACGCGTGATCTCGCTAAATCCTGTGAAGGACGTCGAATATATATTGTGAAGGGTCATGTGTGGGCGTGTGGGCTTGTCTACAACATAATAAAATCAGGAATCTTCTCTTAGGAGAAAATCTAGATATGGGTTTTTTTCTACGTGACTAAAATTATTACACTAGGCGGCGGAGAAATCTACTCGACACTAGTGGACAGCGATTGTCCCTTCAAACGACCATGTCATGATAATGACGACTTGTAGAAGTCAGCAGAACACGTTGTAATGTCGGTCAGGCTGAGCCTTCGATCGACCAGCAAGCCCGTTTAGTTCTCGATTACGCAGTCCATTCCACACATGCTCCTATCTAATGGCAGGCATGACCGCCTCATCATTTCACTTCATCACTGGAATGTTGGTTAGGCCGTGATGATCAATCATGGTATTGGTAGTTAACTAGGGAAAGATAGTGATACTCAGCGTATAGCCATACGCCACAGACGCAACGTGCCCAAACGCCAGAGATGGGTATAATATGAGATCATAACGCGAGAACCATGTCAAACCTGTGACACGCCTCTAACCACCTCCTCGTCCCCTACCACGTCCCCTTCCGCTGCCACTTGCTGTCCGTGTCATCGCAACACCTCCACCATGGCCACCAACAGCGAGGGTATCCCTCTCCCCATAACGCCCTACAGGTGTATTACCACCTGCGTCCGACCAACCAGCCATGCTACTCTGAGCACTCATGGGCACACCGCCCAGTCCTGCGCCCACCTCAAGATGCGGCGCCGTGTTCCGGAGTGCACTTGTCATTTCGTTTACGGGTTCAGAGAAATGTGGTGGTTGGACCTGGTAGTCTCGTGCCTTGACAGGGTTGCATGCAGCTTGCAAGAGTCTCTCGTTGAGCTCATCGTCCGGTTGCGCTTCCCTGAGCATGAGCTTCAAATCTTGCTCAATATCCTGTGCCGAAAGTGAGGGTGGCGGTGGTGCTGAAGCATTAAGCTTCTGGAAAACCTTTGCATCGAGAACAAAAGGCGGGTTGTAGATGAACGGAGGTATTTGACCGCTCACTATGGCGGCTGTAGGGTTGAGTGCCGAGCGTGTGGCACCACGGGTTGCGTGGGGGTTCGAAGAGAGCTGACGGACCATGTCTGACGCGCCAGGTACATCATCTGACTCTTGGTCTTGGTCCATGGGGTCGCCGTTCTCAGAGGCATGGTCGCCATTTGTGCCATTGGTCTGACCGTTAGTTGCGGCTTCCTGTGGTGATGCCTCGGTATTCTTCATCTTGGCAAAGAAGTGAGACGCGGCCGTCGTGGCTTGATTCATGGCCATGTTGAGCTCCTTCTCGCTAAAAAGCCGCTCGATAGAATAGGCGGCTGATTCAAACTGGGCGTTGACAGTGCGCGCTTTGGCTTCGCGGAAGGGCGAGCCAATACCCATTTCGTTAGGGCGACCAGCAGGTCCTGGCGAGTCATTGTCTTGGTCTTCGAAGAGCTTCCGCTTCCGCTTGTTCTCTTGAGCTACAGCAAGCTCTTCGGCGTCTCCAAACTTATGTCCTGTCCTCCTTGTTTTGCGAGGCGCTTGCGGTCCGCCAGGGCTAGCAGGAAGTCCGATGCTGAATTGGTTGGGATGCAGAAGCATTGCGTTGCTGTCGGACAAATCTAATTGCTCCTTTTCTCGCTTCAGCTTATTTGTCCGTTGTTGTATGCTTGCGATGAGTCGCTCGCGAATGGTGGCAGCAAGTAGCTTATGCTCTTCCTCAGCTATCTGGACCTTGTAGTAGTGCGCATTCTCGATTTCGTTCTTGGTGTTCTCGTTTTTGTTCTGTACGATGTTGGTGATTAGTGCATTAGGAGACCAGAACAAGCGCGAAGACCTACCCAGAGCATAGTTAGATTATAGTCGCGTTCTTCCATTGCATCATTGACAGCGTCTACGAAGCGTGAATAGTGTCTTCCACATTGCGCAATGTAGTCAGTGCCGGCGCTAGGTGTCGAAGGCACGTTGTTCCCCATAATCTGCGTGATGAGTTCTGTCGCTTCTTCTCCGCCATCTTCAAGAGGCTGATTCCCATACGGGTCGGCCTTCATGATCAGGCTAATATCAGCTTGCAGCGCCGCGACTTGAGCTCTATAGTGACTATCCCTGTTCTCCGAAAATGAAGCCATCATTTCTGCGAGCTTCTCCGCAAGCATGTTGCGCCGTTTGTCGCGCTTTGAAGGCTGAGGTTGAGGGGACGTTGCCGAATGGCCGAGCGGAAAGTTGTCCGCCGGCGACGGGCTGCCATTTCGTACCATGGCTACAGGTAAGACACTTGAGGCGTGTTGGTGTCGCGGTTCCCTGGTTGTGCGAGACAGGACAACGGTAGAGAACTCCGGGTCCTTCCAAGGTTACGTGCTAGTGTGTCGCGGGAATGGATATGCTGAAATTTCTGAACAGTGTGGCGCAAAGGAGATGAATAGTAGTACCTTCTCATTAGATGAGGGGGTTCAAAACTCACACCAGTGGATATGGTTTGCAAGAGTGAAGGTAGCACGGGCAATCAGTTGCGACAATACGAACGGGGAATAGCGTGGCCGCCAAGACACCGACTGCCGACTTCTCGGCCATGGACTCAAACAGGTGATTACCTGCATCACCTGGCAGCTGCGGCACCTATAAGCGCATCTTTCTCGCACACATTCATCTAGTATAGTATATAACGGGCTAATCGTATACTTTACCTTCTACAGTCACCTGAACATTCAACGAGCTCACGAAGACAACCTCTGTAGGCGGTAAATCCAATTGAATTGACCTAGCAAAACATAGAGAATGAACAGCGTAAAACTACCGATCTGTACAGCAATGATCCAACTACTCATCTTTCGCGTTTTCCTCCCCATCATTGCCAGCGCACGCTCCCATCCTCACCATAGCCTGGCATCTCGTCGTTGCAATGGCATGTAGACGCTGTCTAAGCCTATTCAACAAAGGTGTCGCATAGGTTGAGGTTCAGGTCTGCGGTGCCATGGTAGATCGCACTGTAGTCCGGCTTCGGTTCGCCCACCCAAACAATCTGTTCCAGGGGAGCGCCGCCGCTGTTGTGGATGCGGAGATTCTCGCCTTTGAAGTCGAAGCCGTGGGCAGTGCTCAAGCTGTAGTAGAGTCCAGCTTTCGGGTCCAAGGAGTATGCCATGGTCAAGACAGGCTTGCCGTTGTAGAGGCCATCTTGGGACTTCATGACCTGGACGGCAACGCCGACACCGTTCTTGGCTACTTTCATGGTTTCGACGTACAGCCCTTTAGGCAGAATCATCTGGACGGGGGATTGATCGGTCTGAACGGACGTGACGAAGACTGTGAATTTGCAGTTGTTGTATACAGTAGCGTAAGCTGCCAAAGCAGTGTTGGCAAACATGGCGACAGTGGCGACGAGGGTTGAAAGACGCATCTTGGAGGCACGAACTTCGGGAAGTAGTAAGTAGAGAATGAAGATATGAATAGAATAGGATTTTGACTCTGTGCAAGGTTGATGTTATTGGAAAGTGGTTGTCAAAGGCCGAAGTTGTTGAAGCTTGAGAGTGATGCTTGAGTGATGGTCTAATGGCCGTCTCTGGCTGTTCTTATAGATCCTAAGGGCCTCAAAGTAACTAAACGCGCCGATCATGCTTCCTGCCATTTCCGTGCTTCAGAGTGGCAAGCATTGCTAAGGAACATTGAGATTGTGTGCGATGCTACTACCCAAAGCAAGGTGCTTCCGCTCTCCGTGACATACTACTTGGCTGCAATCGCCCAAGCAGCATTCTTCTCCTTGTACAGACCGACGATATGGTCATGGGCACAGGGCTGTGGAAGACTGTAAGGCAGTTTCGAGTCCCATCCCTCCAATGTGGCACAGTAAACAACATGCCTAGCCAACTAAGTGTCGTGTGACAAACCTGACGCAGGGACAAATTCCTGTGCTTACATACAACGAAGTCTCTAGCAGCAAATAGCACAGTTACTTCTGCTGACACGGTAACAGAAGTAATTACTATGTGATACCTGGGTACGATATTACAAGAGATGAGAGCGTGGCTGAGCCAGGAACAATAACGCTGTGAGAAATGTTGCAGAACATGAGTACAACGAAACTGCGTTGTGAAAATCTGCTGCTAAGCATCGACATCACTTACATATACCATCATTACAGAACATGAGGCGGGTTATGCTTCCTCAGACCAGTCAAAAGCCGAGATCTGGGCGACTGTGTATGCCTCGTTGCATCAGCACCGAGTTTTTGTGTCATGACAAACGTGTGAGCTTTTGGGTAGCAGAAAGTGTGGGTCGTGTGCCAATGCTGGACATGAGGACACAATATAAGGGGTAGATTGAATTGTATGGACACTTTCATCACACATAAATCTTATTGAAGAAGGCGATGTAACATGCTGCGGAGCGAGGGTTATATTTGCAGAGATTATTGCCAAGAGAGTGGAGTGATGAAGCGTGGTTTCAAGGAGAGATGTTCGCGATACCGTTACAATATGACGAGAAGTAACATTACATGAAGCGAGGATAAGGTAAGAGGCACAGCACATACCAACCCAATACTCTTTAAGGTATCATCAAAGCACGTGGAGGAAGCGTGGCGGCTTAAGCCGGCCTGCACCGTGTACTGCCGAACCTCGGTCTTATTCTTAGAGAGGCATTTCTCCACATCCCGCCTGCCCGCAATCGTCTTGCCCGCGGGATTGTCGCCATGTGACAACCACACTTCAACTTGTTGGAGTCCTTCACAATCTACACATCCACAAATTTTAGGAAAATTGTTTCCAAATCATGTCATCTGCTGCAATCCGCACATCAATGAGGATGGCCTCGCGGCCTCAACAACGGCTCGCTAGCATCCAGCGACAGTTCAGTAGCTCATCACCACAAAGGAAGGAGGTTCGAGATGCATATATCATCAGCGCCAGCCGAACACCGACTGCAGTGGCAAGTACCTCTTTTATCACAGGATGCTTCAAATACTAACAATGGGCTAGTTCAATGGCAATTTCACGACCGTATCCGCGACACAGCTCGGCGCCACAGCCATCAAGTCCGCACTCGACAAGTCAAAAGTTCCCATTTCCTCGATAGATGCTGTGTACATGGGCAATGTACTCTCCGCAGGCGTCGGACAAGCGCCGGCACGTCAAGCTGCCATTTTCGCGGGCCTACCCACAAATATTGAGGCTACTACCATCAACAAAGTATGCGCATCAGGATTGAAGGCTGTGAACATTGCCGCTTCGACCATTGAACTTGGTCAGGCCGAAGCGCAGGTCGCGGGAGGAATGGAGAACATGACACGGGTACCGTACTATCTGAACAGGGCAAGCCAGCAGCCCGCATTCGGACACCAGAAGCTGCAGGACGGCTTAATCGCCGATGGTCTCTGGGATGTCTACAACCAAATCCACATGGGAAACTGCGCGGAGAACACTGCCAAGAAGTACCAGGTTTCGCGACAGGATCAGGACGACTACGCGATCGAGACATACAAGCGCGCGCAACAGGCATACAAGGACGGACTCTTCAAAGATGAGATTGTGCCAGTTACAGTCAAGTCGAAGAAGGGAGAAGTCGTCATTTCCGAAGATGAACAGTACAACAAGCTCAAGCTTGACAAGGTCGCGACTTTGAAGCCAGCCTTCGACAAGGGACCAGATGCTAGTGTTACAGCGGCAAACAGCTCGCCTCTCAGTGACGGCGCATCAGCACTGGTACTGGGAAGCAAGGAGATTGCCCAAAAGTATGGCAAGGACAGCCGCGTTCTCGCCAAGGTTGTAACCTACGCCGATGCATCTCTTGGTATGCTGCCCCTCTAATTTTTCTCTTTTTCTCGCGCACCACCACTAACTAAAATTAGACCCCATCGACTTCCCCGTTGCGCCTGCATCCTGCGTTGAGAAACTACTCAAGCAATCCGGCCTCTCAAAGAACGACATCTCCATCTGGGAGTTCAACGAAGCCTTTGCCGCCGTCATCAAAGCCAATGCAAAGATCCTTGGTCTCGGCACAGAGAATGTAAACCCAAGAGGTGGCGCTATCGCTCTCGGACACGCACTGGGTAGTTCTGGTAGCAGAATCTTGGTGACACTATTGCACCAGTTGGAAGTCGGACAGTATGGTGCTGCTGTCATCTGCAATGGCGGTGGTGCGGCATCAGGCATTATCGTGCAGCGGGTCGGCGCGGATCAGCTATAAAATGACGCGTGCCATGTTAATTAGTTGGGATATTCTAAAAAAAATGTAAAATAAATGATCCATATCATGTTTTCGTTTCCACAAATGTTCACGTGTCCGATGTGCAAAATCCCCTGTGCAGCCCACACACCACCGTAGTGTACCATCACCACCAACCAGCTCATATCACTCACTCACAACTTTACAACGCACCTACCTACCTATTATCAAAAAGTGCCTCTAGAAACGCATACTAGAGCAAAAAACAATCGACGTTGGCCAGATTCGAACTGACGCTCCCAAGGGAACAAGATTTCAAGTCTTGCGCGATAACCACTCTGCAAACACCTCATCGTTAGCCACACACACATTGAGGAAGGGGAAGGAAACGTACCCGCCACAACGCCTGCTCTGATTTTAATGGAGTATTTAACCGTTACGGGGGTTATATACGCGGTTGTAAGAGAGAGGAGGTAATAGGAATGAGAGAAGGTGGTGAGGTGAGAGAGGTAATGGGAAGGTAGGGTAAAGGAGGGCAGTATGAGGTAAGAAAAGTAGGGGAGGTGAGGTGATTGTGACATCACGATTGTAAGCAGGGTAATATGCTGTGTAAGTTAGGTTTAGTCTGTGGTGAGACATAGCGGTGTGGAGGTTGTGCTACATAGGTTTCTTAGGGTTGGGGGATGGAGAGTAAAGAGATGAGTGGGATGTAAAGGGTATGTGAAACTCTACAAGAGAAGAAGAGATTTGAAATAAGAGGGCAGAAACATGGAGTGAAAAGACAAAAAGTATGAGAAGGAAAACAAGATATCGTCTCTTCAGTGTGTTTAGGGGCAGAAATCTCATTGATTATTATCTAAGAACTCTAGACTGGCAAACTGTGAAGAACTTTTAATTCCTAAGTAGAGGTCTTTACTCTATCTAGCACCATCCTACTTTATACGCCGCGTGAAAAGAAAATTCATGTCATAGATCACATTATTCAGATATCGAAAATTCGACATCTCCGCCCATCTCAAAGATGGTCAAGACCAAGATTCATATCCAAATCCATATCCATATCCATCGTGAAATCCATGTCATCCCACGCCATAGCTGCAGCCCCCTCTGCCACCGCTGACATACCATCAACCCCAGAAGTGCCGGTCGGGATCGCAGAACTGTAATCTGCAGAGCTTGTCGCGTTCTGCAGGTCCTCTGGGAGTTCGTCCCACGAGGGGAAGTGAAAGTCTTGAATCGTAGTAGATTCGTCAGTAGTCGTGGAAGGCTGCTCGTTTACGGCCTGGAAAGACATGAGATCGTTGACGGTGGTGGTGACGAAAGGTGGTGCCATGCTTGCAGTCGCGTCGTTCAACCAATACCTCTTCTTCGGTGATCCAGCTGTCTTTGTAGCAAAGCCAAGTTCGCCCTGCTCGCCGAAACAGGGACCATTGGTACCGGCGGATATGCATACAAGTTCGGAGATGGGGTCGTATACGCCTAAGAGGTTTTCGGTGCTTGTCATGTTGGTTGCTGGAGCATACGAAGCTGGTGACGTGGGTGATCCGCTTAGTCCGGGGACGCTGTAGGGTGTCTGTCGTCCAGAAGAAAGCTGTCGTGTATGGTCCTGGATGAAATCCAATGAGCCAGAAAGAGAACACTCGAAAGATAATGCCCGTAGTGGATCATTATGGGGTATGTTGGTGCAGGCAAAGTTGTTGATGTTGAAGCTTGGGTCAAGGGCGGAGTTGGAGTGTAAGCCAAGATCTTCAAACACTTCGTGGGGTGCAGTGGTATCTATAGCATCGTTAGTACACAAACTATATAGAGCACCGGTTGTGGTGTGATATACCTTGTGATGAGGGCTGCGTGTCGATGCCGTGAGCTTTCTTGAACAGGTTAAGCCATTCAGGGTTGTCGGCAGAAGTCTGATTCCACGGATCGTTGTCGTCATACAGAATGCGACGCGATTCATTCTGCAACATCTCGTCGGTTACTGACCCAGCCCCATGCTTCTTGATATGTTCTCTCGCAAAGCGCCCCAGTCGCAGAGTGAGGATTTCCCAGCAGGTGGCGTTTGGGTTGGTCTCGGGCGACTCTGAAGTCGAAAAGTCCTTAGGTGTTGTGAGGACAATCGGGCCAACATTTGATGAGTCGCTTCCGTCTTGATATGCGACGGATAGATCATCTGTCGTGATATTCCCTGGGACGTTTGGTAAAAGGTACTCGAGATCTTTGCTTTCAATGTTTAAGTGAAGCTGCTATCATGGTGTCAGTTGAGTTATATTGTTTAGCATTGCAGTGCTTCTTGACCTTGCTAGAGTTCCGCGTATTTACTACAGTGGTACGTACCTTTAGGCTTGAGGAGTTGCTTGCTGAGAACGGGAAAGGTGATTTGCTCTCGTTGGCAATGAGATAAGGCGGCATGGCGTTGGTCACATGTATCGCAACATGGGGATCAAGGCCCCGGCAGCCTTTCCAATTCTTCATGCTCGCACCGTTTCGGAATTCTTTTGCAAGGTGATCTGTGCGATCCTGCCATTTATTAAAGTGCTTCCCGCAGAACCCGCAGCGTGATCTGATGTATTGGGCTTCAGACTTCCACGTTTCCATGCTGGCAGTCATCTTGCACCCATGCATGAGTCGTAAATGTTGGCGAAGGTGATCTTTCCGATAGAACGTTCGTGACTCAGGGCCCTTTTCGTAGCAAGCTGTGTGATTGTGTGTCGCCAAATGCTCGCTACTGGGGTCCAACTCGTCGCAGTATACACACTTGGGCTTCCCAGTGGCCTTGTCAGCCACTATCTCGCCAAGAGGTGCACACAACCACTTCTCCAGAGACAAATGAAGGCTCTTTTCGTGGCGAGACCTGCAATAGTTAGTAGTAATCTACTTGATCAGATGCTTTCAGAACCGACAAGTCACCTCGGATATTTGCAAAATCGAATGAAGAATGGGAATAGTGAGATGAAACATACCAGTCGTACTTGGACTTGAAGGTATCAGTGCAAAATGTGCATTGGAACATACGCTGTGTCTCCTCCGGGCTAGCTTTCGCTGCTCGGGTAGGAATTCGTCGACGCCTGCGCCTTTCCTTGGACTTGAGGCTGTTCATCGAGCCAAGAGAGTGTCGTGATCCGTACGAGTAAGCTGAGGGATGAGATCCGAGAGAGCCGGACGACATGTTTGTGAGGCGTGTCTCCAAGGAAGAAATCGAAGGCGCCTTGAACACGGAAAAGCTTCCAGTGCTGTCGTTGGAAGCATCTTTGCGGTAGCTACTGCTTAGGCTGGTAGATTCCGGTGGGTCAAAAGTTTCAATGGCGTGAGCGATAGCATTGAGAGGCGCAGGTTCGTTCTCAGGAGGAGAGTTTTTCCATCGTTCGAACGGATCTATCGAAAGTTAACCGAAACAATCCTGCTGTTTTGATACTGGTGTTTGAGATTGAACTCCAGTATCTATGTTGTGACACTCGACATCTAGACGATCGTTGTCCATACGGAAGGTTATGAACCTTCCAGCGGTCTTCGACGCAAGAGTCTTGTGTGATCGGCTGAAATCAGCCCCGGTATACGTACTCATGCTTTCCCAGGTCTTCCCTGCTGGAATATTGATAGCCCCAGTCGATGGCCGAATGCTGGGTGATGCACTCCGCTTCGGTCGAGCCTTCTGTCTTCGCCTCGTGTTCGCCATCCAGTTCGAGATTTGGTTCATCGAGAGGCCCGTCTGTTGCTGCAATGTCTCCTTTTCCTCTTCCGTTGGGTATGGGTGATCGATATGCATCAGTATCCAGTCTTTGAGGACCTTGACTGCAGCCCGTGGGAATCGAGCAGCGGCAGCACCTTTCTTGGGACCCTCGTCCCCACCATTCTCGTCTATGGGACCAACATGACCTAGTGATCGCATCTGTTTCTTGCCGGTTAGACCACCAAAGTGTCGCGTATCGTCTTCTGCCACAACATCTAGAGTATCCAGCGCAGTTCTCTGTTGCATTCCCGGCATCTTCTGCGGATCGCTGAAACTGCAGGGCCGAAATAAAGCATTGCATGGTGAGCATCCTGAATTGTTCGAGCCATTTTTGTTATAGATGAAGCATTCGAGAGATTTCGATCGGCAATACGCGCAAGGCTGGGTAGGCTTCTGATATCGTGGAAGCCAACTGCTAAAGTCGGTGTTGAAGTCTGTACTAGTGGCCTGTACATCCAAGTTCTTCATGAGAGATGCGGACTCTTGGTGCAATACATAGCTGGCTGATATTAGAATCTTGTAAAACCAATCGGACAAGGAAGAAGCAGCCCTCAGAGGGCTCCCCGGTAGTTGATTGGAGATGCTAGTCCAAGTGCTCACCTTTCGTCCAATAGCGCTCCCGAGGTATCAAGATTGATTTCTTTTGTCGTGTTGGGTATGCCCGTTTCCCCGAAATCGACGAAGTCGGCCATGTCGAAGGCTGCATTAGGCGTAGTCATGATGCCAGTTCACAATCATGCAAGCAACTCAGAATCGAACCGCTTGTCCGCCAATGGCGTGTGGAAGGTGGAAAGAAAAACTGCACGCCCTGTGGACAAATTTGACAGAAAGGCGTGAGATGTAGTTATGGATTGATGGATGCTAAGTAAGATCTACCGCTTGGACTCATGTTGGACTCATATCGAAGAAAGCACCACACACTTTCTACAGCCGCTAAACCTAATTCTGCAGAAATGTCGAGTTGAAGGGCGCAGTCCGTGCGGCCTGCAGGATCACATTAGCCAGACTTGCGCGTTGGGGGCTAGATGTGGGATAAAGAACGCGCTGATACCGCTGAGTCATTGAAGCAGCATCAAGCAGATGGCTTAGTGAGGCCGTTCAGATGCAACGTTCAGCAACATGCACTCATCCACAATGCACTCTATCCACGGTTCTTGCGCGTCTTGGAGTTAGAATCTTCTCGAGTTGCTGGGGAGGTCTGAAAGTTACGAAAAGTTACGCCAACTTCTTGAATATTACCGGGCGACTCCAAGCCAGTACCCACCAGCTGAAGCTGACAAACCCCACTTGACTTGGCTGCAAGGAGCACGATCCCAGCTAACTCCTTCCACTGCGCCTGCGACTAGCTGCGATTGGTTGTTGAGGAGCCAGAAGAGCGCAGACCATTCGGAATTTTGGGAGTGGGATGGGGTCGGGGTGGAGGCCGGAACGCGATGCGGAGGTTGCGAACTCGGCATCTGACCTTCCAAGGTTAGCCGCGTTCTAGATAGTCAGCTGACGATCGCAAAACACCGTCCGTCCGAGGACCTACAGGTGAGCTGTGAGAAATGCGACAATCGGAAGGAAGCTGGTATTAAGTCAGTCGCCGCCTTGTGACGTTTCATCCATCAAACCCCGATACCGCAAATCGATCATATGCGCATGCCCTGGATCGAGGGAGTTCCGAAGTGATGAACGAGATGTACATACATACCTTGCTATGTCAGATGAGCAGCGAAGAAGAAAAAGTAACACATGCTGATTGTGAAGTTGGCAAATGCATATCAAGAACACCGATCTTGTCGACCATCATGCTACGTTGTCTTTCCACGGATGGTCGTGGATCAATGCTAGATACAAGACTGGCAAGCTCGGTCCTTGATACCACATCCCTTCCCGGGAGGGTTCAGAGGCTACTAGCTCCCGATTGAAACTGCAGCATTCTTTTGCCAGCTGCAAGAGCACGCGCACATCTCATAAACACGTCGGTTCAATCAGATGACGTCGAGGCATGGTCTGAAGAAAGCCCGAGGCCGGCGCATCTCCTTTGGGCATTCATTCATCACTTGCACACCAGAACCTTGGACGCCTGCGATGATGCCCCAATTTCTCCATTTCGTTAACTTCACTGTACAGCTCGGATACGTTTGAGAATGAGACATAGACAGAGATATAACCTGGTGAATATCAAACATGCTGCTTGGATAGTCCATAGCACTAGCGGGCCATATCTGTGGAGGGGTCGCGCAAGGCTAGAAGCGAAGCTTGAACGGCGGGGAACATCCGACAAGAGTACATAACATCTAGCACGCACACTGTCCACCAACGACAGACCCCTATACCATAAGACGGTGAAGTATCCGCTTGACTTGTTCGTGGTTCTCGATCGATTTCTCGCATTACTAGATGCAAAGGCCTTGGCATGTCCCGAGGATGGCAGTCGGGCAGACCTTAGCGATGGTGCCAACTCATAACGCATGGAGTCGGTCCAATCCGTCAACTATTTCATAAGCCCAACGAGACTAGCTAATACGTACTGCTGGACTCCACAGTGCTCGTCATGTAACATGTCACTTGTCACCGCCCGTGCCTGATCATCCAAACCAGAGCTCCATCTCCATCTGTCTTATACCCGACAACACTCGAGACGCAGATCTCGTTTTATGCCCACGGCAAGCATCGAATAGTTCCTAAATAGTGTACGGCCCACTCTGGCCCTACTATGATTAGCTGTGGCTTTCCAAGTTGGTACTTATGAAATGGATGCAGCTCCAAACTGCGCCATCTGCAGTGCGCCGGCTGAATATGAATGTACCTGCGAATCTGAACGGCTTCAGATTGCCGTCAAGCAAGCAGAGCAGCGTGCTATGGATGAGCGGATGGCGGAGATACGGTACGATATGTACATATGCTATGCCAGAGAGGCGCTGACTGTTTTGCAGAGACTGGGTGATCAACCATGCTCGGCAGCACATTCTGAACGCATTCGAACGGTTGACATCGACACGCAAGCAGGCACATTCGGCATACCTTGCCTCCCTTCCCAACTACGAAGTTTACATGCGATACTCAGGTCACCCTCCAATTCATCCCATGTACGTTGCGACGCTCCAGACACAGATTGCAGAAGCACATTCGGAGCTCAAGCGGGGCATCGACGCGGACTGGCGAGCATCGGTCCTTCGCTATCCGGAGGTCTTGGACTACTTTTACAGCCTCATTGAACTCCGGCTACCCGACGACCACTCCCGGCAAGTAGTCGAACCACCGTTCGCGGCGGCTGGCTACGCAGACCGAGGTTATGGCGTCAAAGAGCAGATGCCGACCACGAAGAAGAAGAAGCGACGGGATAGAGAAGGGTCGGTACCGCAGGGAGGACATACGGCACTCAACAGAGTGATGCGTGGGCCCCCTCCTGTGCCCACACCGCCAGTACAACATGGAGCGTTCCCTCGACCACCGGGACCGTATCCATACTGAGAACATACGCACTTGATGCGGTTCGATACGATTACCCTTGGAAGTCACACCGGATACATGCAGTGGGACCAATATGAGCAGCATATGGCGGGCGTTGATACTTGTACATTTTTGGGGTGTTATGACTGGGCTATTACAAATTTGTCGCAATCTCCTCAGGCATAGCGAGGAGTATTCATTTCCGTGTCCCTTATTGTCGATTACAGTAGTCATTTAGTCATTATAGGTAGTCTGCATTTGAATGCAACAACATTCTCAATTCTATCAACAACTCCAATATCATGGCGGCGACTTTCACACTTTCCGAGCCCGCATGTGTCGGCATCGTCTTGTAAAGTTCGGCAACAACTGGCCATTGCCCAAAGCTCCACCGGGTCCGTGCGCCATGGCTCGGAAAGTCGAGCTCTCAGAAATTCAGAGTAGAAGCCAACAAACCCCCGACCCATCACCACCACCAATCGAACTTTCCGACATAACCGACGCACCTTCGCTGCTCTACTGGAAAAGCTCCGGGCCAAAAATACTACTCTCCACCCGAGGGCGCAAAGAGTGCGCTCCACAAGATCGCCCATCATGAGCGGCAAAGCAGGCGCATATGGCACGTCGGGCGGCGGCGACACTGACTTCAGGAAAACATGGGATCGCGACGAGATGGCGAAAAAGGCCAAGGACAGGGAGGCAAAGGAGCGCGACGAGGGCAAAGAGCGATATGAGGCAAAGCTGGCTGGCAAGACGTACAGGCGAAGGGCTTCGACACCCGACGATCTGAAGCAGACGGAGGCAAGGTCAGAGCGCATAGACTGGAGCAAGATGATTGGAAAGCAAACCCTCACATCAGCAGCAGCAGCTGTAGGCAAGAGGGGCCGCGGTGCAGGTGCATACTGTCAAGCCTGCGACCTCACATTCAAGGACAACATCCAGTACGTCGAGCATTTGAACAGCAAACAGCATTTGGTCGCGACCGGTCAATCAGGCGAAGTTCATCGCGCCACACTCCAGGAAGTGCGAGAGCGCCTGCGCTATCTCAAGCGCAAGCGAGATGAAGACAAGTTCCTCGAGGTCACAGATCTCGACGCAAGACTGGCAATGACCAAGGAGCAATTAGAGAAGGACGCAGAGGAGAAGAGGCGGCTGCGTAACGAAAAGCGCAGGGCGAAGAAGAAGACGGATGCCAACGCCATGGAGTGGAAGGTTGAGGGGGATGGCATAATCCGCTGAGCCCATTGCGATGATCGCATACGGACGAATAGTTCAGTTACGAGTCGGCTGGGCGAAGCTTTTGCGCTTCCCCTAGCCTGGCGATATCCCTTAGACACCACCAGAAGCAGTATACTTCTGACACGATCCTTACCGGATGCGCTCACTACATCTCCGACGTCCCACGAAGAACTTGTCGAGATTGAGCAGCATAAGCAGAAAACAGGGTGTCCTTGATGATATCTTTGTCACTATTGGCTACCAAGACATGCACATATAAGCGCAAAGGGCAGGCACACAGGGTTGCCTTAAATCCTGACAAATGGGCCCTCGTTCTGGTGATGAGAAGATGGGGTGCCGTGGCGGGATGTTTAACGCCGGAGGATTGACAATGGACGTACCCCACACATCGATATCCTGATGCATCAATTACACACCTGCATCCGAGGGGCTGATTTATAAGCTAGCCGACCGACTTCGCGAGCCCCGAGAACCCATTACTATAAATAAACAACTTTAGGTGCTCCCCGACCTCAACTCAATTCCAATCGCTTTTTGTTTGTGGTATAACGTCGATTTCATTCAACCCAAGAAACCATCTTCAATATTAACACAAGAATGGCGCAAGTCAACGGTAATGCCCCCAAAATCACTCTCTACACGAATCATCGCTGTCCATGGGCCCATCGCGCACACGTCGCTATCAAGGAGCTGGGATTGCCATATGAGGAGGTCATCATAGACCTGGACAAGCCAAGAGAGCTGTGGTATCTTGAAATCAATCCGGTACGACAACCCTCAGCCTCCACCAACTGAAGCATCACTGACACTTTTGCAGCGCGGCCTCGTCCCTGCAATTGATTTCAACGGCGAGATCATCACAGAGTCTGGTATTGTCGCAACATTCCTGGCAGATGCATACCCCTCGCACCTTCTTCCCACGGCTGGCACCCCGGAAGCTGCACTTAGCCGCGCGAAAATCAATTTCTTCGTTGATACCTGGTTCAGCAAGGCAAACAGCTACCTCTTCAAGATTCTCCTGGCAGCTTCAGAAGAGGACCAAGCGAAGATGAGCAAGGAGGTTGTGGATATAGTGGGCAAGGAAATTGAGCCTTTGTTGAAGGATGCAAAGCCGTTCTTCGGCGGCAGTGACAAGCCTACTCTAGCTGAGGTATGATAGTCACCAGGGACTCGAAGCTAAATGCTGACACACTGACAGGCTCTCACCGCGCCTTTCATCCTCCGGTACTACACGTTTTCGAAACGCGATGCCCTTCCAAAGTCAATCCTGTCCGGCTTCGACGCGCTGCCCAACTTCTCCAAATGGGCGGCTGAGGTCATTAAGCTGGACAGCGTGACCTACATTTGGAATGAAGAGGATGTTGTCACTACCACACTGCGAAAGGTGGCAAGTATGAAGGGACAGGCGGCTGCGAAGTGAGCTCGACAGTGTAGTCGCCACGAGTATGTGAAGGGATCGCTATCGCGGAGTTGGTGCGGTAGTTCTAGGCGGCTAATTGGGTCGACCGACTATGTCGGTACCACATACTGAGTGCATAACGAGAGTCACCAGGGAGTATACCTAGTCGCCACAGAACATGCAACAGCCATGTCAAGGTCATCTATGATCTTTTTCAACATTAATCCTAACGTACAAATACATTTGAGTACGACCTATGCCAATTCACTAAACGGGTGTGAACAGAAGAGAACTTGGTCTTGCGATGCGTTTTCTTCTTGCTGGAAATAATAAACGTTGCTTGAAGCCCTACCAAAACCGTTATTGCGCCTTACCCCCCATGGAACAAAGGAACTAGGCCAAATGCAAGTTGCTAAACGAGTGTGCCGACCATGAGCGCTGAAGAGGCCGCGAGACGTCATGCGTTGACGGGAGAGGGAAGCACCACCGGACAAGCTTTAGTCATCGACATCGTGATAATGGGAAGGTGGGGCTCACTGCGGTCAGATTGTAGAGCCATGACGCGTTCGCTTTGCTGGAGGCATTGTATCTTCTCCTCCACAGAGCGACAGCAACGCCTCGGCCGCGTCCATGTCGGCATAGCTGAGGTTATCAACGCCACCGGACACTTCGGAGCCATGTGCACTATCCACCGTCATCGCCGTTGGAGGGCGAGTGGCGGTTTCATTGATGGCATGATCGTAAAAGTTCACCTTGGAATGCGTCCGCTTCGTTCGAAAGCCTCCATACTGGTATTCGGAGGGTGCTGATGTCGGTGTAAGCAACCCTTGGGGTACATGCACATGCTGGCTCACAGGTGAGCTGATTATTGAAGAGTCGGCTGTGCGAGGAGAGTATGGTGATATCGGTCGATTTATTGGGGTGAAGCGAGTGCGAGGTGACACTTCGGGCGAACAGAGATACCTGTCTCTTCCCTCGGCATCGGATCCATATCCGCTCTCAATGTCCACAGGTCGTACACTTCGCTGCTTCACGACCTTCATACAGAGCGGCGGCGGGCCAAACCGCGACTTCGTCGTCTCTACTTGCGGCGACATCTCCACCCCATGGACCTTATATAACGGGCCGAGTTCCCGGAATCGGGCGGTTTCGCGTGCACAATACTGGACTATTGCTGGGTCGATGAGGAATTTTGCGAAGCATGGGTCATTTGGAGGCAAGCAGGTGGAGGGGAAATCGTCGCCGAAGACTGGTGTGAGTGCCCATCGGATGTCGTAACAGAATGTCGCTGCTATGGCTTTGGCCGCATGGTATGGCATCCAGTAGCCTACGGAACGTCAGCGGATTCCATCACCAAGGGAGTCTTCACCAACCTTGACACACCAGGGCTCCTCCAGTAATACTGTAGCTGATCTCCTTCAGCCCTGGGTTCTCTCTCAAAGCCTTGGCGGGTATTGTCTGCACCAGTCAGTCTTCCAACTACTCATCATGGCAAGCTCTTACTCACCTTTGAGTACTTGCATGACTTGAAAAAGGGTGTCATGCGAACGAGACCGATGTTGTAGTCCCAGACTACAACATATTCTTTGTCTTCACCAGGTCTCTTATAGGTGTACTGGAACACTAGTCGAGTTAGTATCGGGCTACAAACACGACGAGAAAGACCTACTTTCGAAGGCATCGCGCCCGGTCTTGTCCAGGAAGTCTTTCTTTTCACTGTTGTACGGAATGTGTCGGACACCCTTCTTGAAGATCTCGCCCAGCGGGTAGATCTGAAACTTGCGATGTTGGGCTAGCAGTTCCGGGTCATGTTGGTTCTCATAAGGGGCAAAATTTACAGTTCCAACGGTCCTGTTGCCGTCTGAGAAGATCGGGGCATCTTTCGGGATCTTTTGTCTCTTAGGAGCTGGGGCTGCAGCTACCGGATGGGAGGCTGGCGTTGGTGATTTCGATTCTCGTTGGTTATGACGGTCGCCACAGAATGGGTTCAACAAATGTGAGATCTTCATGTTACGGGCTGATTTGCACTCTGTTCTCGTCGGATGTTAGGCTCTTTGGAAGTTGTCACCAAGTACCGCTACTTGACAGGGACAGTAGACTTGAGGGCGCAAAGGTCTGGTGATAAAGTGAGACCAAGCTACGGTGAAACGAGAAAGCAGAGCAGTTGGGTGGCAGTGACGATGGGAAGAGCTGGACGTCCAGTGCGTTTGCGCAATGCTCACGAGGACGAGATGATCACTTTGATACTCTGACCAGTGAAGAAGTGGAGAGAGAGCCACCTCGCTTTATTGACCGACCTGAAAAGTGTCAGAGCCCCAGAAGAGAAGGATACGACGATGTTCACGACCTACGTAATGCTTGTTGTGTGCTCTTGATCGACAGTGCGGTTGACAGAAAGACGATGAGGAAACGTGCGGCTGCGTTGGCTCTGGTCCGAAATGAAAGGGCCCTGTTCGACAAACGGTATGATCCCGTGGCGGATAGGTGGGTCTTGCGTGGTGTCCAACGGATACTTTCGCTCGGCTATCGCAACAGTCCAGGTCTAACAGTGGCTATAACAAGCCAAGTCAGCAAAGATGAAAGAGGTGGGGTAGTATAAGTGTTTTTATTACCAAGACACGATGGAAATTAGTCCGAAGTGAGTAGTTTGTACGGGCTATGCTCGTTAGTGGATGGCTGGGGTGAGATCACTACAAAGCGACGGTCGACGCACTACAGGTCAAGCAAAAGTACATGTGTTGTACACCGTTCCCTTTAACGGATCGACTATTACCTTCACTTCGGCTCGCTAGTAGCTCATCTTGGCAGAGTGCATTGCCAAAGCTTGCCCAAGCGCCTTGCAGACGACGTCCGGTGTGTAAGTGGACGTGCTTGGGTTTCAGGCTGCACACTACATGGCTTGACAGGTTGCGAAGCGGCAGATCCACTAATTGGACCAAACGACTGTTACCGAACGCAAGTGCTGGGGTATGGACAATGCAATAGTGGAAGATGAATCGAGGGAATAGCGTAGTACGGCGTCAAACACTCCTCCCGCCTGAACCCTGCGTCCAGACCGGGGCATACACGCCATCTCCTTTGTTCGCGCAGTATATGGATCGGTGTCAATTAAAGCACCCCCAATAAGTTGGATGACGTGCCATTTCGCAGCGATGATGCAGTCCGCCAGCTACTGATAGCGTCATGGGAAAACGCCACGCTTCGGATTTTCGAATCGACAATTACACACAAAATCTTCCCAGTAAGGAATAGCCAACGGAACACACCGCCATCATTCTCGAAAGAAGCATTGTTAGCTGAAGTGATTTAACAATGGCACAGTATTAAGGTGTTTCCCTCTCACGCAAATGTGGCACCACGAAGCTTCAGTCGGTCTTTACTATCCGTCAGCAGTACTCTTCCTCTCGGTCTCTCTCAAGAGGCCATGCCTGCATGTCAAGCACCCAGGTGGACGGCATAAAGAACGAATCGGTACGATGTTTACCTGCAGCTTCCCGTGGGCGTACGATGCACGGTCTTCTTGGCCTTTGGTGCAAACGTGGCCCATTTTTTGCGTCTCCCGGACACCCGCACAATTGCACGCTCAGCGCAATAGTCCATTGGTGTAGAGACTGTCGGTGTGTGATATCAGCCTTGTTCCCGTTGGCGATACTCGAGGTATCCATCCCAGGCCCCGGCTTGCATGTCTCTCCGTCACATCGAAGTGCCTTTGGGTATGGCGCAGCGGGCATAGAATTTGGGCAGACCATGACTCCTATATCACAGTGAAACATGGCGCCCTCTAATGCAAGCCCCTTCACCTGTTTGCAAACGAAGTTTTCCAAGCCGAACTTTCACTTGATTTGTATCTCACCGGACGCTGATCAACAAAGGGTCCTCTCCCATTCACACAAATATGCGGTTGGACCGACGGTGGGTCGGTTCATTGAGAAAGGCGGTGTTTATGTTTCAGTACAGACCGCTCAAAGACAACAAAGGCCAAGCTGCAGCTTTGGCTGCCACAACCCGTGACGGCTGATTGAGCAGAGGTTTTCTCCAGACCCTTCTGGAGCCTTGGGACTTTATACCTGGCGAATCGGTACCTGCATGCAAAATACCTTGGTTACTCGCTGTTAGATCCGCTGTCACTGTGCGTTGCCGGCGGTGGGGGATTCGAACAACTCACACTGCGTCCCGGTCAAAGCAGACGCCTTGGTGAACCCATCTCCAGAATCCTTGGAAGCACCAGATTCTATTGGTCAAAAACCTGGTCTTTCGAGACTTTGGGTCACCCGCACAGCGCCAGGAAAAGGAGGAGATGCGCGCTCGCCATCGATCATCGTGCATGCACGCCGACTCTTCCGCTTCCGCCAGTTACACCGAAGCCATGAATGCGGAATGTATGCTGAGGTAGCATGGAACATGGAACAACCGGGTAGATACCACTGTGGTGCAAACAGGAGACTCAGCCGAGGAACGAGATCATCAGAGGCAAAACCAACGATGACGCCCTATTCCCATGTGTCCTCAGTTTCGAGTCCAAGACTTTTGTCTACATCATGGAAAAGCTAAACAATCTCGTGATCTACTGATCCAGGTGTGACTGACGAGCTCATTGGGTCAGTCTCAGCCAACTCCTTTAACTTAAGCGCCACATAGGGCAGATTATCATGGGGCAGTATGGACTGGTGAAGCACTGAAACTTCGCTAATACTGTATCGCATAAGCTTCTTCTGGGCAGCGAAGGGGTCGAGACCTCGTCAAGTTCAGGCGAGAAGCTTATCCGTGCGCCTGTACGCACCGAGTAGTCTACGATAGATCTGCGATAGACTCTGGCCTGTCTGACGTATACGAAAGCCGTAACTCCTCTAGGCTTGAGTATCTCAGCTACCCTCTGATGGGATGATTCTCACGACAGAGGCGACATGACGGAAATGACTTCATGCACGGAGATGGTGTGATTTGTCGCATACTCTTTACACAACACACCCGATGCTCATCTAGGACACGTTAGTTAACCCGCCTAAGCCAGGCCAGAGAGAAGAGCTGTGCATTCGAATGGCGTAAAAGTGTGCGCTACGCCAGTGCCCATGCGAACGCACTCATAAATTTTAAGCCTTCTGCTCCAGTCGCACTCCTCGAGCTCTGTTTTTGGACAAAATGTCATTGCAGCGTGGACGATTTATTTGTCACATATTGGCAGCACACACCCCTCCTTTTTGGAATTGCATCAATAACACGACGCTGCCCAGGTGCCCCGCTCATTTCTTAGACTGAACATGTCTTCACGAGCGTGCCACAACGTCGCAGCAAGCGCAGAAGCTATGCCCACAACATCCCAAGGCTATCTCACGACATGGCCGGCCATACATCCGAAGTCGAATAGTACCCCGCTACCTCAGTTACGACATATCGTGTGACGAAGTTGTCAAAATCTCCGTCCCTCGTGCCCGTCGGGTGACGCGTCGAGACGTGTCCCACTCATGTCAACGAGATGGTGTTTGGAGCATGGCCAGGGCTGCCCCACTAAGCCGCTCTTGCACCACTGCCTCGCCGTCGCCTCGTCGCGTTTATAGCATGACAGTTTGGTGGTTGCGCTCGGTAGTGCCCTCACAGTGGAAGCGGGAATCGGCAGGGGTGACCCACGCTGCGTAGCCGTATAGAGGCACCGTGTCCGGCCAAGATATCAACAACAACTGCGAACAAGCGTTACGAGTGACGAATCTTGGGACACACAACGTCCTGCAAGAGCGTTCTGGAGGCATGCAAGAGTCGAGGGAGAGCGACTCGTCTTCCAAAGTAGGTGCTGACTGACAGCTGCGGTGATGCAATCAAGCTTTGTGGCGCTTTTCACACGGTAGGACGAAACTATACCAGCACCTGAGCAGCAGGCACTTGTTCGAGCAGAGCAGCAGAGCCATGCGCAGATCATCCAAAGCCGCCCCGTTCTTCTCGCATTGCACGGCCGAATTTGTCATGGTGCGTTGAACCAAGAGACCGACACTTCCATGTCCCAAGTACAACAAACAGCCCTTGCCCCACCCGCTGGTGGACGTGCAACCTCCACGATAGGTAACCGACACCACTGTCGGCCTTCTAGACCCCGTCATACAGCTACTGAGCACTCCAACGTCACGACCGCCTGCCGATCTCAAATCTTCAGATGCAAGAGACTAACATAGTGCCCGCGAGATGGCCGCGCCACTGACCTGGAAACCCACTGGATTGTACAAGAGACAGGCTGTCCGCTCCCGCCCCCCAAGCGAAGCCCATTACCCTCTTGGCTTCATCTCTGTGGAAGTGTCCAGAGAGCCGTTCGGCATATGCAGGGAACTTGCATGCACACCCTTGCTTGGCACTCGAAGAGAAACGATCCCAGGGCTTGCTCCGGGTCAGATGCGCAAATTGGGGCCCAGTACCACAATGGGTTAGCCTTTGTTGACAGGTACCACTAGCAAGATTTGACATGTTCCTGACAGTCTTGACAGGTGTCACGGTGCGAGTCTTTTTAAGGGGGTGGGGAGCGCAACAAAACCGTTGGACAGGAGCCACAATGTGTGAGCGGATTAGGCAAGGTATGCCTCACTTCTCTTCTTTTCTCGTCCATTCACAAACACTCCCAACTATCCCCACTTCTCTTTTAACCGAAGATTGGATTTCCCTTTTGTATCTTTTCTCACACTTTCAGCCCGAACGAGCGGTTGCCCAATGTGTTTTCCCTTTTTAACAACAAATCTCTCTATTTGTCATTCTTTTTTTCCCTATTCTCACTCTCTCCTCGCGGTTGTATCCCCCGGATAGCCAGCACATCATGTTGCACATGGCAGTGAAGGTGGGCGCCGCAGCAGCTTAGACTGAGGCTGTTCGCCGTCTCTGCTGCTCCGCCTCCTATCCCAACATTGATTCCCCAAGTACCGAGATCAGAAAATGATGCCCGTTTACACTCCAAGCCTCCGTACTGGGTTCATGTAGGTATCCTCCCTCGTCCGGTACCCGCAAAGGCAAAGTGGACCTCAATGACGCGACAACCACCATTACTACCCCAGTCATATTCTTTTTCGCACTAACAAGGCACACCCGTTTCCCATAGCCCCACGCCGCGTGTTTTTTCTCTATTTCTCTCGCCTGCTTCCCAACGTGGCCCGCCAACGATGCAACCACGCACTGAGTTGATGTGGTGGTGGGGACGATGCTTGCCGAACACCCCGGTACTGTCATCGCCCGCGTTGTCTGCGGACTGATGGACCGGGATGGTGTAATCTCAGCCTATCGCTTGTGTTTCTTGCTGCTTATACGTTAAGCAGATTTGGAATTATGGTCGTGGGCTAGTGTGTTGGGTGGCTAGGTAGGTGAGTAGGGTACGTTTGTGAGTAAAGCGCCGAGTATGTGTGTATCTAGTATGATCTCACGACTTATGAATGTCTTCCTAGATCTAAGGTAGGTAGTCTGGTATACTTTCCTAGGTTGGAGTACAGTCATCATTTGGATAGCGTCTTGTCTAGGGTTCCTCATGGTTGGAATTGTATTACGACGAGATAACAATCCAGTTTTATCATATAGAATCAGCTAAATGATACCTTGTCAGAGGTAGCTATGAAAGATTCAATCTACAACTCTTCTGCTCCCTATGCTCCAGACGTACTATATACATCCTCGTCCTGCATATTAACAGTCTAAATTTCGAACGCAACAAGTTGAAACGTTAACATGTAGACAGCAACAGTAGGTACATAAGTAAGCCAGGAGGAAGAAACACCACAGCTTCCATTACAACAGTCACCCAAAGCGACTATCACAACATCACTATCATCAACACACATATGTAAAAAGGCAGTTGAATTCCCACCCTGGCCTCTTGGAAGCAAACGAGGAAACGAACTAAAAAGACGAGCGCTTAAGCTCCAGCTATATTACATACTCATAGAGCGATCGATCGCGCACACTGCACCTTCGGCCGTGAAGAATTCTTAAACACAGAGAAGAGAGAAAGAAACGAAAAGCGTCTCAATGCGCGCCACAGCAGACCGAACCGAACCGAACCGAACCGACCCCAGAGTCCGTTGAAAGAACACTCAAAAAACGCCATGATTGCAAACCACCGGGTATCTCCCGTTGTCCACGCATCTCCCGAAATTCACAATCTACTCTACTCGCTGTCATCGTCGTCATCGAAGCTAGGCTCAGATACAGCATCCGACTCATCATCGTCGCTGACCACGTACTTGGCTGGCTTAGCAGCAGCGGCCCTACGACCAGGTCGAGCAGCGCCAGCAGCAGGTTTACGTGCCGCGGGCTTAGGGGTCGGCTCATCCTCATCCTCATCTTCGTCGGAGAGAATGTCGTTGGCAAGGGCATCAGCATCCTCCATTTCCTCGTCCTCGTCGTCAGAGTCAATGGTGATGGGCTTCTTAGCTTTGGGTACGGGTTTAGCAGACTCAGCATCTTTGCCATGTTTCTTCGCGTAGGCTTTGGCAGCCGGGCTCTGAGCAGCGGGCTTCTTGGCTAAGGCCTTTGCCTTTGGTACTGGTTTGGCGGCTGCTGTCTTGGATTTTGCGGCAGGTTTGGCAGTGAGTTTGCTGGCGGCTGGCTTCTTGATAACGAGATCGGAGTTGTCATCATCTGAGCTCATGATGGTATCGTTGACGTTGCGAGGCGCGGGACGCTTAGGTGATGGCTGGGGCATCAGACCCTCGTAATTAGTCTCGTTGTCGTCGATTTCGAGCGTGCTGCTCTTCTTTCCAACTGCCGAACTGCCAGGACGGGCGCTTCCATTGCTACCAGGGCGGGCACTGGTAGTTGCCTTGAACATAGGAACCCCGTTCGTAGCAGATCCGATTGTTTTCACCATGCTGCTTACATCGCCGAGAAGATCCTCGTCATCGTCGGAGTCGCTGCCGAGATTGTACTTGGCCACCTGTTTGGTTGCACCGCGAGCAGCTCGTGAGGGAGCAGCACTCTTACTGGGCTCCTTGGCGGCCTCTTGAGCGACGGCGGCAAACACATCAGACTCGTCGTCATCAGATATGACTGGATCCTTTTTGACAGGCTTCGAAGCGGCCGGTCGACCCCGTTTGGCCGGAGCTGGCTTCGGATCTACAGATGCAGATCTGCTTTCCGCTGCGCCATCAACTTGCGGCGGTTCCTCTTTCTTCTTGACTAAGTGCGTGAGCAAGGTCCCTTGCTTCTGCAGTGCCGTGGAGCCAAATGCACTGCTACTCTTAAGAGCTTCCGCTGCACTAGGCTTCTTGGCAGGTTCTGACTGGAGATAGCCGAGCAAGCCCTCCTTTTTCGGCTTCGCCTTTTTCTTAACTGGGCCAAAGTCAGACCCGGAGTCGTCCGAATCGCTGCCGTCCATCTTCCTCTTCTTCTTTCCCTTGCTACTCTTGCCCGCGGCGATGCCAAGCTTCTGGGATGCACGGCGGGTGATGCCAGCAATCTTCTTCTTGCGCTTGGCCTCCTCTTCCAGCTGAAGGTTCCACTCGTCCATGAAGGCATCAAGATCAACATTCCAGATGTCTTTAGGTGAGAGCTTGATGAGGGTGTCGATTTCGTGCTGCTTCTCGCCGATCTGCTTCATAAGCTTTTCGACACGCTCTTGAGTAAGCGACCAAATGGCCATCTATGAGATGTTAGTGCTTGAAAATACATAGAATAAAGGGAATACTTACGCCCAGCAGGTAGTCATAGTCGTTTGCGGACACTTCCACGTCAGCGTCTTCTGACGCTTCGTCCTCCTGGTAGTCCTCAACCTCGCCAGCTTGCTTGGCTTCTTCGACCTTTGGGAAAGGTGTGAAGCCGAGCTTCTTGAGCTCTTGAACGAGGACAGCCTTCTTCTTCTTGGAGACCGTAAGCTTTCCGTCGATGATCATTTGGATGAACTTGGCTTGATTTGTCATCTTGAGGTGCTCCTTCTCCATGACCTGGAGCTGATGCTGTTTTCGCTTCTCGTAGTATCGCAGGCGGATGTGGTAGAACTCCTCAATAATATCGAGAACAGTTGCGTACTTGTGAATGCGTCCATGTGCGTCGAATGCGACCAGATTGCTCGTCGACTGAGGCTTGAACAGCTTGAAATACTCCTCCAAGCCCTTGGTGACCGCCTCTGCCATATACTTGTCTTCCATTTTGATGATGAAATGAACGCGATCAGGAGTATTGTAATCAATGTAATCCTTGATATACGACGGAGCCTTCTCAGCCTTGATGATCTCCTCGAGCTTTTCCTTGAAGTCCTGAGTCCAGTAGCGAACTGGCAGTTCAGTGATCTCGACCTCGTTGTCACCAGTCTGTCGGACAGTTCCTGTGAACTGGTACCGATCAGGGCCTATCTCGGTTGTTGTACCAGTGAAACCTTTGTACCAAGGAATCATCGGCGTCATGTCATCTTTGGTGGCACCTGGCTCCATGCGACGCCTGATATTCGCGATGATGTCCATCGGGTTGAAGTTTGGGATTTCAGAGCTCCAACCAGTACCGATACCACTAGAACCGTTGATGAGAATCGTGGGCAAGATAGGCACAAACATTTCTGGCTCAATCTTGTGGCCGTCCGACTCGCCATACTTCAATAGCGCGTCATCGTGTCCATGGAAGATACGGCGCGCAAAAGGCGAAAGGCGAGTGTAGATGTACCTGGCGCTGGCAGCATCGGCACCACCCTTGAGACGAGAACCAAAGTTACCGCTAGGTTCGAGATAATTGATGTTGTTGGTACCGACAAAGTTCTGCGCAAGATTAACAATCGTTCCTTGCATAGAAGCTTCTCCGTGTGCGTAATCGGTGGAACCAGAGACGGAACCGGCGAGCTCAACCACCTTGACATCTTTCTTGATGTTGCGCCTGAAGCAGGTGTACAGAACCTTGCGCTGACCTGGTTTGAGACCATCGATGACCGAGGGGATAGATCGAACGTTATCGGCCATGGAGAAGAGGATCAACTCCTTGTTCACGAAGTCGTCGTAAGAGATGTCGGGAGTCGTAAGATCGAGATGCTGACCAGGAACAAAGTCGCGTAACCAATCTTTACGAGCATCTGCCTTCTTCTTGGAGAAGGCTAGCTCGATGAGCTTCTCTTCTTCTTCGCGCATGACCTGGAAGCGCTTCATGTGCGTATCAAGGTCCTTGAAGTAGATTTGTGCGTCAGGGATGTCACTGGTACCCAATCCCTTGTAGTACTTGTGGTCCCATCCCTTCTCATGCTGGTGCTGTTCTTTCCACTCCTCGTACTCAGGCATGGAGAAGAAGCTCTTCATGTTGCGCGGATTCTTGGGATCGCCCTTCCAGACCTTGACGATGGGCGTGATGAATTCCAGCAGGAAGCCCGGGATCTTGAGCAAGCTAGGGAATTGGCATTGGAGAAAGTTGATCAACAGACCCTTGATATGGCTACCGTCGTGATCCTGATCGGTCATGATCATGAGATGACCGTAGCGCAAGCTCTTCATATCTGCCATGGTATACTCCTTCTTGTGTTGAAGACCCATAAACTTCTTGATGTTCTGGATTTCGGCATTCTTCATGATCTGGTCTACAGTGGCGTCTCGAACGTTGAGGAGCTTACCACGTAGCGGGAAGACACCAAACAGATCCTGGTTCACGACAGCGCGTCCTGCCAAGGCGAGTACACTAGCTGACTCACCCTCAGTGAGGATGAGAGTGCAGAGATGTCCATCCTTGGTACCAGCCTTATTAGCATCTGTGAGCTTGGCATTGCTGATACGGTTGCGCTTGTTGCCGTCGGTCTTCTTCATCATCTGATCAGCCTTCTGCTGAGCAAAATGCATGATGTTCTGGATGACGTCGGTCTTTGCGATGGCGTTCAGGAACTTGTCGCTCAAGACAGGCTTGCTACCGAATTGACTGGGCCTGGTGGTGAGCTGCTCCTTCGTTTGGGAGGTAAAGGCCGGATTGACGATGGAACAGTTGACGAAAAGGAACAGATGGTTCTTGATCTGCGCGGGCTTGAGCTTGACAGCAGCCTTGTTCTTCTTGTTTACGATGGCCATGAGCTTTTCGACAATCTGATCGGCAATGTGGTTCACATGCGTACCACCGGACGTTGTGGCGATAGAGTTGACGAACGAGACCTGGTTGAAAGAACCATCTGAGACGGCGAAACCAATGTCCCAGCGGTCGAGCTTGTCTGTGATGATGACGTCCTTCTCCTTGTCGTCCTCGCTCTTGCCCTGGTCGCGGGAGATAGACTTGGTGTACATCTCCATGTACTTGGCGAACGATGTAAGCTTGATACGGTCGCCGTTGAGGTAGACCTTGACGCCGCGCAGCGTACCAGCCATGTCGTAGGTCCTGCGCTTGACCATCGCTTCGAAATCATCGTCAATTCCTGTCATGCCGAACCGGGCGTAGTCGGCCTTCCAGCTGACCTTGGTGTAATCGTCTGACTTGATATCGCTGATCTTGGCCTTGCCCATTTTGCTCATGTTCTCCGTCCAGGTCTGCCTGTACTTCTTCTTCTGCTTCGAGTCAACAGTCTCGACTGTGAATTCTGTACTGAAAACGTTACAGAGCTTGGCTCCGTAACCGTTGCGACCACCGGTGACCTTTTGCTGATCGTCGTCGTAGTTGGAGGAGGTAAGGAGGTGACCAAAAATCATCTCTGGTACATAAATGCCGTGTTCCTGATAAAGTTAGTAGAGCATCTGGGAGAGAAAAAAGGAGACTGACTTTGTGGATCTCAATTGGAATTCCTTTGCCGTCGTTCTTGATGGAGATCTCGCCAGTCTCCCGATCAACGGTAACTCGAATCTCGCTCATGTTCTTGTCGTTCTGCTTGTTATCTGCCGCGTTCACAAGAATCTCATCGAAGATTTTGTATAGACCGGGCACATAGGTTACGTCGCGGAACTCCATCGAATCGCTCTCGGAGTTGTACACCCACATCTTGTCTGTCTGTCGCTCCACAGAGCCAATGTAGGTATCGGGTCGCTTCATAATATGTTCCAGATGTGTCAGCTGCCAGTGTGTTAGTAGTCTCCTTTGCGCCCGAATGCATCAAAACCCACCATTTGGTATTTGCTACTCGCGCCGCCCTTCTTCGGCTTTGAAATGGGGACATCATCGTCGTCGTCTCCGCCAAAGCTCTCATTCGGGATGTCTGCAAGTGGCTTGCCGCTCGACTTCTTTGGGCCGGGCGCCTTTTTGGCCTTTGGTGGTGTGTCTTTGAGTAGCGACTCGTCATCGTCGACTGGGTCCTCGTCCATGTCTATGTCGGAGTTCTCATCCATGTCTGAATCGTCTGCTTTCTTCTTCTTGGGCGCAGCCTTCGCCTTTGGCTTTGCAGTGGCACCCGCAGGTCGGCCTCGTGGTTTTGCAGTTCCTGCTGCTTTCTTTGGTGCTGCTGCCTTTGGTTTCGCCACTTTGGCGGCTTTTGCAGGTTTCGCAGGGGGCGCAAAGTCGGAACTGGCGCCTTCGTCAAAGATCGAGTCCTCCATGTCGCTCATGGTGGGCGATTATGTGTCCCGCAGGACGGAAACGGATGGTAAAAGAAAAAAGGCCCGCGCTTTGCGAAGATACAGAGACGGGAAGCAACGAGCGTAAATGAAAGGAAGGCGTGGTGGTGAGGGGGCCAGTTGCGAGGCGTGTTGTTAGATGAGAAAGCGTGTTTACGCGTTTTGGTTGCCAAAGCGAGACGCTGCAGGGGGGAGCGCGCTAGATGAGCGCTAGTGCGGGGTTCCAAGACCCCCATTGGGAGCGCGAGCACTGAACGATGAGAGGGAAACTCCAAAGTGAAATGTCATGGTGAGGATGAGAAAGATACTAAGAGGCTGTTCTCGGTAGACACCAGTATTGTGACACTGGCTGATAAGAGAGACAGTGAGGTCGTGAGGCTACCCAGGTACACGACAGATTGTTGAAGCACACCAAGATGTTTTGACAGACTTCCCACTGCAATCTGGCGTCTCATTATGCCATCAAAACTGAGTGATGAAGTCTCAATGTCAGTAGAAAAGCATCTCGAAGATACGTCGGTAAAGTGGTAGTCTCCTCAAACTTACCTGGGTACACCTGGGCATGCCCTCTCACCCATCTTGCTGAGACTAGAGCAGTCCTCGTCAACACTTAGACTCTCGGAGAGACCTATAACTTCACCGAACGACTTCAACGGCCAAGGAAACTGCCGTCTCACAAAATTGAAGTGAGTCGTTGCCAAGTCATGTGACAATCAGGTGACTTGAAGTTCGTGGTCAAACAGCCCACTCCTGTCTAAGCCACCACAGTGTCTACCTCACCTGCTCCATGGGCAAGATGGTAACATGATTTTGGCCTCCGAAATACTGGGAAGTTTGTAGGTGGGGCGGGGCACAAGAAGAAACAGCTGAGAGTCAAGTGCCCAACGGATTCCTCTCAGCCAGCCATCCGTCTCCGTGGCGTCTCTAGGACAGTGACAAAGTTTCATTGATAAAACCACGTGTACAAGCAGACCCCACATCTCCACTACGACAAAAGCACGGGAAGAATGTCAAGAATCGACAAGAGTTTGCCAATGCGAAATTTTAGTGGGGTCACCGTGTGGTTATACCCCCCCTGGGATCTGTAAACTCGATGTAACCCAGAACCAGCAAAGTCTGGCGGCATGTACCGTTCCACGTGGTTCCGAACATTAGTGAACACCTGATGCTATTGTGACCTGATTTGTTAATATACGCGAATACGTGCATCGCTACGTAGGCGACACTTCGCCGAGACGGCGCCAAGCGATATCCGAGCATCCGAGTAGACGCGGCGAGATCAGTCCCCAGTTATGAACCATATTCTTTACAAAAGGCTTCTTTTTTTGGCAGCTAGTAGGATACGGAAGTGGGGCAAAAAGCTTACGTTTATTCCAGCTATCGATCGCCGTGCGGCAGCGTTCGGGATCGCCGTTACGGAGTGAAGAGGGTTCACGGATGATCGGAGATGAATCGAACGGACGAAAACGCTTTTGATGACGTGCTCACATTTGCGGCTGGCAGGCATGTAATTGTGGGTAGATAGTACTGAATTTTGAATTCCAACGAAAAGGGTATTTCCAATCAGACAAAGGAGAATGGAAGATATCTACAGGAAGAGATAGTAATCAAACGAAACGTGAGTGGTGAATGGTGGACCAGTTTAGACCCAACCTGAAAAGTATCCAAAATATCATGACGCCCCGTTGATAGCCAAATATGCAAAGAAAAGATCCGGTGACAAGTATGCCGCTATGCTCTATTCTTCCTGAAAAGATCCCGGAGACGAAGCTTGAATCTCAAGATGTGCGAAGCGCGCTTAATCTTCATGCCTTCGGTGCTGTCGTCACGGTCCCGTGTCTTGCTAGATTTACTTCTGCTACGCTCGCTACCCATCTTTTTCTCTTGCTTACGCTTCTTCTCATTCAAGACAAACATGCTGGTGGCGCGCTTCTTAAGACCATGACCTTCGGTTACACCGGAATCCCAGAGGCCTGTCGTAGTGACAGGAGCAAAAGTCGATTTCGTGTTGCGTGACCGGTCTGTATCCACAACCGATGGAGATGGGAACGGCGAAGACAGTAGCGGTGTAGGCGGGCCCGACTCTTCAGAGGAAGGTGCTATAACGATATTGGATGGTATAACTGCAAGAGGAAATCTGGTCGACTCGACAGATGGTCGCTCTATGGGTGCGGCCAATGTAAGCTCTTTTATGCGCAGTAATTCTACGCTGGGTTTTATCCGACGCTCTTCTACTAGTGTCTGGTCTTCAAAGGCAACACCATGCTTCTTCCTCAAACTACCAGTCAAACTGTGGCGCGCAGTGCCTGTTGAGTTAGCACGAGACGGCCGTGTCTTCGTGGCTGGGACAGCTGGTGTCATGGGTTTGGCAGACGTGGGAGAAGCAGGAATATCCTTGAAGCTCGCGCGACGGGGAAGCTTTTCCATACTCGGCCTGAACATACGGGGAAACGAGCGCCGATTTTCGTCAGAGGTAGAAGTCGGTGATGGCGAGCGAGGGCATTCCAGAGCGGACATGGAGACAGTGCGGACGCTAGGAGAACGGAAGATGGCGTTTGAGCCGAGGACAGGTGTTGACGACTGGCTAGGAGGGTCTGCTGTGAACTCGCGTGTGGCGACCCAAACACCAGAGATGAGAATAAAGTGTCGAAGAGCATCATCGGTCACGATGGGTAGCTTTGCGGTGAGATTGTCCATAAAGGTATCAACTTCAATATACGAGGATTCCGTAGTAGGGGACTGAGTGTAGGAAGCAAAGGTTGAAGTGGGCGCTGAGGTCCCTGTGGGCACCGCATAAGTGTCCATTACGTCGATGCGATTTCGGGTCATGGTCGCAATGATTGGGTGACGCCTGGAGTTGGTGCTCATGGTGCTAAAGGTAAACTTCCTGTCGTCAGGCGCTTGCGAGGCCGTTGGTGAGGGTGGGCTTCCTTTTGTGATGCTCGACGTGCGGCGCACATTCGCAGGCTTCAGCACCCATCGTGCCTTGAGCGGCAGGCCATGCTCGTCAGTGCTGTTGAACTCGTAGCTCCCGTTTGGCATTTGTGTGACTGTCCAGCGACTCATGCCAAGGTCCATGAATATCTCGGTTGTCTCAATGAGGTCCTTTTCACATTTCTTGGAGCTGATGATGCCTATGACATCACGTGGGCCGAAGCGGTCGTCGTCGGACTTTTCGTCGCTGTCCTGGCTGTTGTATGCCTCTGCTTTTGCGATCAGCAAATCATGGGGCCCTAGCTTCTCTTTGGTGTTGAAGGTTCGCGCTAGGCGCCTGGTGGTTCCATGGGGAAGCAGCGAACAGGGAATGACTTCAAAGGCCGGGCGCGGTCGCTGTGAAGCAATGATCTGGTGGAGCTGCAGGAGGACCTTGGGACGTGTGTGCAGCTTGGAGCGCGTGTGGACGGGGCGAGCTAGGTTGTAGCATGTTCGGGACCGTGGCGTGCGCTTCCTAGGCTTCTCTGACTCGGCATCGCTAGCCCATGAGAGGCTTCGCTGGGGAGCGAGGGCGGTGATGGCTTCATGCTGGGCAGTCTTGATGGAATCTTTCCCAGGCGTGCTTGCATCAAGGTCATTGGTTTTGGTAGGGTTGCTGAGTGTGGAAGTTACTGTCGCCGGCGACTGGGAAGGGCACTGGGCCCTTAGGACAGAGCCAAGGATAGACATTGGCATCTGGAAGAAGGAAGCATTGCTGGTGGGCGAGACTGTACGTGGTGGTGAAGGTTGAAGGCCGTGTTTGGAGGCTGCATCGGCTGCTATCATGTCCAGCAGAAGCATTTCCCCAGCTACCGTCTACGGCAGAGCATGCTGAGTCGGCCGTCAGCACGGAACAAAGAGCTGGAAAGGGAACTGAAAGTGGAAATGGGCGTGCAGCCGCGCATGGGACGCCCATTGTTCTTATGAAGGGCCGGGACCTAAGGGCTGTGCGCTGAGGTCTGGAGGGAGGCGGTGCCCCTCTTGTCAAGCGCAATACCAAGGTAGACAATCCACCGTGTCGCGGGAATGGGGCTGAACTTACAAGCCACAGCTAGCGAGTAGCCGACCTTATGCACGACAACCAATTGCGTCCTGCAATCCAAGGCGTGTCAAGTATGTAAGGACGGTTGCTGTCTCACGCAAGGCTTTCTTTAGAAGATGACGGCGATAACGAGACGAGCTGATGGGCGGAATAATACAGATCAGGAACAGAAGCTTCCATCTGACGGGGACCCCGTAAGGTCATTCATCTGGAATCCGCCGGCGGCGGCCAAGGGGGTTGACTCTCTATCCGCATCGTCGACGCACAAGGCAGCTAGACCTCGACGCCGGTAATAGCAACAGTCTCCGTCCCGCCAGTTTGCAACACACACGATGAGCCGCATGCGGCAAAGGCCAACGCAAAGGGGCCTTCAAGATTGGCCCACGGTAGCATCTTCCCTGCACCATGTGCAAAATGTCGCGAATGACCCCTCGCCCACCTGCTCGGAAATCGCGAACTCGGCTTCGGCGGAACGCGCTGGGGCCGCTTACGCTTACTATAGGTGAAGCTACCAAGAATACTGCTGACCGTCACATCACCCCTTTCAGTCCCTTGCCAACGGCAGGAGCAAGACACATGTACGTCGCATGTCCGTCGCGATCCGAACCGCTCTCGAGGATTGGTCATGTAGCACCGACTACATACGTACGTACGTGACCCTGCCGTTCACTGTCACAAACATGGGGACGAAGCCTGAGCAGCCTCGTACCCATACAAGATGCATACGAGCCTGATTGGTTAGCCTCGCGACGTTTCAGTGCCGGAACTCCGCCACCAAGGATACCACGAAACGCCAACAGTATTACTCGTTGCTTCGAAGCATGCTCAGAACTGGAAAGCAAAAGCCCAGAAAGCTTGTACATGGTTGTCGGGCCCCGAGAACACCTTGTCCACATGTCTGCAACAACAAACCACCGTGGCAACACGAGCGAGGCAATTCGAAATCACCGCCTCTACACCGACACGGGCTTGCATTCACGCCGAGCGATGCATTTTGCTGCACGTGGTGATGCACGTTGCGATCTTCCTGCAAGCCCACTCGCTTCTGATCGACTCGGTTCCCTCATGCTCCGATTCCCGCACCCACCGCCAATTTCGCTCCGGGACCGAGGCCTCCAGCTAGAAAACACTCGTCACCGTCCGCCAGACGGATGAACCGACCATCCGATACATTATATGTCGCCAAAACAAGCATGCGTCACGTTTAGGAAAAAAAATACGCATCACAGTAGCCCGAGAATAATACCGATCACCACTTCACCACACCCTGCTGCAGCGAGCGCCTTCAATGGACCAACCCCAGGGCGAGCATTCCAATGCTCACGCACTGGCCGAGAGCCTGGTTGCCTGGTTTACGTCAAATGGGGGTCAGCTCAGTCCAGACGTCGAGATCGTCTACAGCGACGCGCGTGGCTTCCACATGCGCGCACTGCGGCCATTGAGCTCGCCTGTGGTGACCAAGTGTCCGCTTAAGCTCACACTCTCATGTCTCAACCTAGACCCGGGTGAACAGGGCGTATTGCACATTGAGAGTCCCCTGCGACAATGTCGAGGACGAATTCCGGATCACATACTAACATATCTCCTCTTAATTGAGCAACGTGACAAGGGTCAAGCATCGCCATGGCATGCTTATATTGCATGTTTACCAAATTCACGGGACATGACGACGCCCTTATGGTTCGATGAGGGCGATATGGCCTTTCTTGCAGGCACAAGCTTAGTGCCTGCTGCCAAGGAGAGGAAAGCTGAGCTACAGCAGCAGTGGGAGGGCGCCATAGCAGTCATGGAAGAGCTGAGTATTCCTCTCGCCAAGGGCATTGACACGTAAGTTTGCCAGAAAGCGGTGTCTGTTGGCGTCCCATATCGCTCCATGTTAGGCCTACCGCATGCTCGGTAAGGGAGACTATATCAGCACTAATTCTTTTGTCCGAGACGTGGCAGCTGAAGAGGCGTTGCTTTTACTTTGAGGCCCCCAGCATCTCTTTTCCCCAATACTGGCGCCTAGCAGGCTTACCGCTCATCCGCAAAAGCTATCCAGGCGCAGCCTGCTAACGATTATCAGTGAATCGTTACTATGGGCAGCCACCATCTTCACTTCTCGCGCATTCATCTCCACCCATATCTTGCCCGAGAGGGAAACAGTGCCCATTCTCTTCCCAGTGGTCGATATTTTGAACCATTCCGTGTCCGCCAAAGTAGAATGGGACTTTCAGCCTGGTCAATCTTTCGCTTTGAAGTGCCTTGACGGAGACTCATTCCAGCCCGAACAAGAGCTTTTCAACAACTACGCACCCAAGCAGAATGATGAGCTACTTCTTGGATATGGCTTCTGCCTTGAGAACAACCCCATCGAGCAGTTTGCTTTGAAGCTGGCATTCCAGCCGCAGCTGCAGCAATATGCGCAACAGCTGGGTCTACTGAGTCCTGAAAATGTGCCTTTCGGAATGTCCAAAGACTTCTTAGCAACAGATGCAAACAAAGAGCAGCACTTTCTGCGCGTCAAGGACCATCCTTTTGGACGTTATGATAATCATGTCTCTTTCTTCCGCGGTGTACCTCCATACATTGTACATTTCTTCTTCATCCAGACAGTTATTACTCTTGAAGTAGACATCAGTAGTATCGATGTTGCGAAACCGGGATCTAGAATTGCTCTGCAAGTTCTGGTACTGTTACATCAGGCCCTGACGCAGAGGTGTAGCACCCTTCCCCTCCACTTCAACCAGAAGCCCCAAAACGACAAGCAAAGGTTTGCCAAAACCTATCGCGATACCCAGGCCAGAATTATTCACTCGGTACGAGAAGAGCTGCAGACCGCAATCACAAGGCTGCGCGCGCCAAGCAACCAATCCTCGCGGGTGTTGCATTCTATACCGGACATCCTCGTGACCTTCCGCTCCGATCTACCCAAGCCAGCAAAGAGATTCGAGGAAGCGCTTGTGCAGCATGGTCTGCAAGACCCGGAAGCCGAGAGTATGGTGTGGACATTACTACTCACAGTCCTGCTAGCCAAAATGCTAACAACGCAAAACACCGACGCCGCTCTAATATTCTCCCTTTTGCGCGACCTATGCGTAAGACATGCACTTCCCGCTCTCGAAGACGGGATCGAAGACGCCGACACATACACCTTCATCGACGAGCATCTGGGTGATTTCCTGCACCTTCCTTCTGCCGATCCGGACGCGTCACCAAGCGACGTTCTCGATGAGCTCGGTCTTACCTTTGTCAACCAACCCGCTGAAAGTACAGCTGCTCCTGTCTTCATCAATGGTCGTACGGAGAACCTTGGCCCAAGGATTATCATGTGGGCGATGAAGGTGGTCGAGCAGGATGTCGTGCCGGTGGTTGAAGACGGACAGATTAGGAAATATTTGTACGCTAGGTCGCAGGCGGAGGAAGGCGGGGCTCAGAGTGTTGAAGGGTGGATGTACGAGCATGTGGCGGTGTAAGTAGGAAAGCTGGATATGAGTGCTGCTGTATGCTGGCCTTTATGTGCAGACAAGTTAGGCTGCATGTAGCTATGCACTATCGCGTTCACGAAATTCTCTCCGAAAAGCTCCTGAATACTTTCCTGTATCTCTCATTATCTTAGTTATGTGTGCATGTGCGTGATGCCTATGATCATGTGACTACATAGAGTATCGTTCGACCTTGTAATATAGTAACACTTTCTTTCCTGCAGATATCTTTTCCATCTTACCTTGTCTTTTCCAGCCTGGAAGCTTTCTCTTTACACTCTCCTTTACATGATACCAAGATTCTTGTGCTTCTATGCTCGGCTGTTTCTACTTTACAACTTTGAGTAGAACGCATCTCGATTGATAACGGCTTGATCTTAGGTCGCTTGTCGCAATCTTACTTACAACTCTGTAACGCTTCAGTAATGTGATTTTGGAAGTGCTTTTTGGGATATATTTGCTATCTTGGAACCACACAATTCAGTGTCCCTGCAGTCATTGGTGTATGTTGCAGTCAGTAATTAAGGGGAGCAGATAAATCGATTCGGCCCACTGCTCATAACCGCTGCGCTCAATGTGCTGCGCATCTTGGTTTTCTATCAATGCTTTCTCGTGTTTGCTATTCAATATCGGATATTTGCAGCCGGTCTGCCATGACCGTCTTGCTGCACCTACAGCTTAGGGAAGGGTCACGTTCCACTAATATACCAGCCATGTACGTATAAATCAAGCAAGCGCCAATTGAATTTTGGGGAACAGATGCAGACTATACTGCCGTGCATCGCAGCATTTTGTTGCTCGTCTCTTCAACTCAGACCACGTTCGGATCAAGGACTAGCTACGCAATAAATGAGACTTATTATACCTTCCGAGCAGACACTGAACATGTCTACTCTTGTTTTCATTGAAATTGTGCCGAGAAAGGCTGCCTTGTCCGCACTCGAACCCCGCTCTCTGCAACAGGCCTTCTCCTCACATGTTGGTCATGAAGTCGACGCAGTCTGGTCAAGAGAACTATGCAGTTTGGCGATGCCGAGTGTGCCAATTGACAGCGGACATATCTCGCAGCAAACCAGGGGCGGTGGCGAGATCGATACCCCTAATTAGTACACGGGAACGGGACCGATGCGACTAATCAACAGATGAAAGATTACAAAAAAACTTGGGAACCAAGCTGTCAACAACGAAGGATTAGTATTACAAACCAAATAGCACTGGCTGTGGCGACATAACCAAGTTTTTGCCAAAGGGCCGAACAGCGTCGGTCTTGTAGCGTCTCATCGGCCTTGGATGACTACGTCATAGCCACGCTTCACAAGAGCCACAACCACACTCAAGCCAAGAACTACGATCTATGCTCCACACAACGGCTATCTGCCAGTGCTAGCCCTACTGGTGGAGAGCGTTCCAGGCTGTTGGTCGCTTGGTCGCTTGCTCGTTCCGAACAAGTGAGCTCATAACACTGGGAATCTAGATGGCTGGCCGAATCCAACCGAGATTTCCTCATCGTTAACCGCAATGCAGTATGTAGCTGCACCTGCGTTACTACGCATCCAGCAGCACGCAGAAAGGCTTACAAAGACATCTACCTACTAATCGACTGACTGATTACAGACACAAGATGCGAATACTCATATGACTACAAGATGGCGTCCCGAGGTTGTTCGTTGTTTGATTATTCTTTCGCAAACCCGCCCCACTAAACGACGGCTTTCTAGTGGCGGTCCACGCACCGAATGTGTAAGGATACGTGATATACTAGATGCTAGATCCGGAGACCCTGTACATTATCAACATGCAACGTCATGGGCGAGAAAGTTTTCGAACACTGTGGATGTCGTTCAGGGTGGATGTATGAGTGATCTGAGCTGAGCTGTGGTCATATATAATAGAGCAAGTCGCAGCACTGTCTTTTCTTTCTATCATCAAAACCAAAATTTCACAGTTCTTTCCAATTGCAATTCCCCAGATAGTCCTTTGACTGCTACCACTACAACAACACATATTCACCTCACTACTACATAACCACCAAGATGCCTTCTTTCACCGTCTACAAGGGCTCCAAGGACAGCAAGATCGTCAAGGCGCAAACTACCAAGCCGGATCTCCAGAACGACCAAGTTCTCATCAAGGTCACCGCCTCCGGTCTCTGCGGCACAGATGAGCACTACAAGGGAGCTGACATGGCGCTCGGCCACGAGGGCGTCGGCATCGTCGAGGACATTGGTCCCAACGTGCAAGAACTGAAAAAGGGGGACAGAGTAGGCTGGGGTTACGAGCACAACAGCTGTGGACGTTGCGACAAGTGCCTCACAGGCCGCGAAACCTACTGCGAGGCTCGCGAGATGTACGGCGAGGCCAACCTGGACCAAGGCAGCTTCGCCTCACACGCCGTCTGGCGCGAGGCCTTCCTCTTCAAAGTGCCTGAAGAGCTATCCGATGCCGAAGCCGCGCCTCTCATGTGCGGTGGTGCCACCGTCTTCAACGCCCTCCACAGCTACAACGTCAAGCCCACGGACCGCGTCGGTGTAATGGGTGTTGGTGGTCTGGGCCATCTCGCCATTCAGTACGCGGCCAAGATGGGCTGCGACGTCGTCGTCTTCTCCGGGTCCGACAGCAAGAAAGAGGAGGCCATGTCTCTAGGCGCAAAGGAGTTCGTCGCCATGAAGGGCAAGTCTGAAATTAGCGTTTCTCGAAAGGTCGACGCCCTCCTCGTTACTACCTCTGTTATGCCAGACTGGAAGATGATGCTGCCCGTTCTCAACGCAAACGCTACCATTTTCCCCATGACCGTCAGCTTCAACGACTTCTCCTTCCCCCACATGGCTTTGCTCTCCCAGGGCATTACTGTTCAGGGTAGTGTTGTCGCAGCACGAGCCGTTCACAGGAGCATGTTGGCTTTCTCGGCTCTGCACGGTATCAAGCCCATCCTCATGGAGTTCCCATTGAATGAGAAGGGTATTGAGGAGGCGATGAACACACTGAAGGATGGAAAGATGAGGTACCGTGGTGTGCTTAAGCCCGAGTAGATGGGGCTAAGCTGTAATGAAATGGGAGGATGTAATAAAGAAGTACTAGTGTAACGAATTTCATTTGTTAGAGATGAACATCGGAGTGGCGTTTGGAAGTCGGGAGGTAGGAGCGGTTCGTTAGAAATGAAGAGCGAATTCAATGTATCAATATACTCAGATGAAGAAGACAGATATCTCGATTTATCCGTGCAATTGGAACTTTTGATGCAAAGCTGAATCTCTACTATATAAGGAGTGTGCTCAGAGAGCAATTTCGCAAAAACCGAATCGTGTCCGAGTATCCAGGGTCATACCACCCTTGACTTGGACAAAATAGCACTTGTACTGTTCCGGTTGTCTCACCGCATCCCGTTTCCACTTGTCCGCAAGAGGCCGATGTAATCCGCTACTCTTTCTCAGCAAACACCCGCATCAACACGGGTAGAATATTGCGCGGCCTCATCCTCAGCACCGCTGCAATCGCCTGCCTCAAATCCGTCACTGTCGCGACATCTTCCTCAAGCTCGGCGCCTGGGTTATGCGACTGTCCCTGACTCTTATCCGCCTTGACCTTGGGTGTAAACGGAACTTTCAAGGCGTCGAGTATCTCATTCCCACCCGCTGTCTCCATGACATGTCCGTCGGGACCACTGCCCTGCGCATCGGCGCCACGTGCATCGCCATCCCTCCTGCCGGGAACAACACACCCAACAAAGCCGGCAACCCTCTTCTCAAACTCGTTCTCACCCAGCTTCGACAGCACGTACTCCAACTCGAGCTCCCATTCCTTGTTCAGGAACTTCATCCGGCTCTTCAGAATCTTCTTCTGCGAGCCGCCAAAGGCAGTGAAGATATCCCAATTGCTGTTCTTCCACTTTGCGACGAACGCCTCGCGCGCTGTGAAGCTTGTCGAGGGCGCATTATGGTATTCGAGTACAGCAGCGAGGTAGCTGATGATGAAACGGTAAGCGGACGGTGAGAGTATGGCGCCTGATTTTGACGTTGTGCTGCTGGTTCTACCATCAATTTCATCTTGGGCGAGTAAGGCGATGAAGATGGCGAGGTTCCAGCGCGTGGTGTCATGGTAGCGGACCCATTGTCTACGCTCGTCTATCCGGTAGTACCAGATCGCCCGCGTTACGTCAATGTGCTGCTTCTCGCTGTCTTTGATTGGTTGTCCATAGTACGTGTCCATGGCAGCACGGTGGCGCAGAAAGAAGGCGAGCTGGATGTCGAGGGGTGTGTGGGGGAGGTGAAGCGCGCGCGGGGACTGCGTTAGGATTGATGACAGAGTGATTGCGGGGAGGTGATATGGCGGTACAGCTGCGAGCTTGGCTGTGAGGAGGGCTTGGAGATGGGCTTCAGAGGCAGCATCGCTGTTACCAGGGTGGTCATGCTGGTGTAGGTTTAGGTCTGGGGTGACAGTGCTTGTATTGCATGCCATTGTGGTGTCTTGGGAAGCTCAATTCATGAGAGAGAGAAGATTGAAGTGAGAGGGAGAGGGAGGGAGGCAAACTGATTGTTTTAAGTAGATGGAGCTTGAGCGTATTCGCAAGCGACGCATTTGTTGCCTGTTTGCTAACGCTCCACGCTAGTGACGCCTCTCTCACCACCACAACAATGGCACTGTGACTGAAGCATATTACACCTGTACTTGAACTTAACATTACTTGAGTTTCTTGAGATATTGAATGCAATTGATACATTAAAATACTATCTGAGGGATACTAGCTACAAGACAAGTCTCACCTCCTTCTACAATTATGCGATTAATAACATCAGCGCAGATTTGATCACCAAACGTAGAACTCTCTCTTAGTGTTGATTAAGCGACACACCCCTGCTGTATCTTACAGGTAAAGGAGTTGTAGGATAGCTAGGAGTAGAATAATACCGAGTAACTCTCTTAGTCAGTACTACAAGTCAATCATAGACGAATCTTCTTTTTTCATACTTGCGAGACTTTGTGAGGACTACTACAGTGCGTCTTATAATGTTGTTGCGCTGTTCCTATACAGCTGTGTAGCCTACACGCAAGTGTAAAGAAGCTATAACCTGACATCTTACCTACATAAAAGAAGTTGACATGGCTTGAAACTCTGTATGCATCAGGTATAGATGGAGCCTTGTATGCTCCATGTAGGGTCTTTAAGCTAAGGTATGCAGCACTGAATTACCTTTGTATACATATCTATACATACATACATACGCTCTTACACACTTATATACACGTGTGTGTATATACACTACTACGACAGAGGGAGGTCAGAGGGAGATATAGATGCAGAGGGAAGCATGTGTTAAAAATATAATTGTTATCAACGTTGAGCAGTGACACCTTGTAACTGCCAGACTTGTAAAACAGTGCAATGCGAAGAGTAAAAAATAGGGGTATCTAACGAACGTCCACCGCAAACCAGGAAACTAGACAGCAATGAAGCGAAACGAAGCAAAAAAAAGGGAGCTGTCTGTCTAAACCACAACCACCTCCTCTGTCGGGCTGTGTGGTGAAGAGAAGCGAAGCAAAAACGCATGCGTGTGCGTGTAAAAAAACCGGGTCATCTACGACCGCAGAAACCCCCCTACAACAAGCCCTCCAACTCCGCCTTCCACTCCTGTATCCCTACCCGTTTTCCCGCATCCTTAACTAGCACCTTGCCAAACCAGGCGCCCAAATCCCTACCCAGCATCTTGCTCAACCCCCTAAGACGTTTGATATTCTCCATGCCTTGATCGTCATAGCCCATGCACTGCAGTGGCTGACCGGCCTTGATCATCTCCCGCTGCTGGTACTTATTCCCCCTGAAAGCGTCATAAGGCGACGAGCCCAAGATGAGGAAGAGCAGAGTGATGGCCAGGGACCAGAGGTCTGAGGAAGGCGAAGGTGAGGAAGATGTCATGGTGGTGAGGAGACAGGGGTCTAGGTAATCCCACGTTCCTGCGCCGAAGGGGCCTGAGGTTTGTGATGTGATTGTGGCGTCGTTGTCAGGAAGAGAGAGGATGGTGGAGGAGAAGTCTGTGTAGACTGGCTTTGGGATGATGCCGTTTGAGCCGAGAAAGTTGGTCGAGACGAGGATGTTGGAGGGTTTGATGTCGGCGTGGGTGCAGAAGTGTTCTTGCATCCACTGCAGCGAGGTGATGAGGGAGTGGGCGATGCTGGGGAAGACGGCGGCGAGTTTGGTGGCCCGTGAGGCTGGGTCAAGGGTGTTGAGGTGCTTTTGGATCCAGCCTTCCAGCGTGTCGTCCATGGCTTGCAGGAGGAGTGAGCCGTTGCGTGGGTCGAGGCCGTAGAAGGGGACGATGTGGTCGGTGGCGTTGGGGTACCGGGATAGGTACGAGAGGATGCGTGCTTCCGCCTCGAGAACCTTCTTTGCGCTTGTCATAGCTGGCTTCTTGACGGCGTAGAGGGAGGGCGTTGTGGGTACCAGGTTGAGGGCCATAGCCGATTCGACCGTCTTTACTGGTGTCAGGGGAGGCGTCATCTCAGGGCTATAGGGCGTCGGTGATGAAGACTGCTCGGTCGGCTTGGGTGAGCACGGCGTCGCTAGGTAGACGTCACTCCATGCACCCTCGCCAATCTTCTTCATTCGACCGCGCTCATCTGTGCGGATCTCGTAGTCTGTCAAGTGGTGTGGAAAGATGATGAGCTCAGTGCTTCCAGCACGTGGTGATTCATCCAGTGACAGGCGGGGCCGGTTAATCGAAGATACCGAATCCCCACGTCGTAGAGTAGATAGTGAGTTCAACAAGTCCGAAGACCCAGATGCGGACTTTGCATGTGATATGCTGGGTGTAAGCGGGGGCGTAATCGTGCCGCTATCGTGCATGCTTTGAAGATGCTGTGCACCCATGGTCAAGGCGCGGTGTCTTGTTGGGGATGCTGGTGGCGTATATCGAGTCCGGGCTGTTTGTCTTCTTCTGTGACCAACAGAGCAATCTCCCTCTCCTGATGTGTTATGCGTTTGTAGCTGAAGTTGCGGAAGTTGTCTCTTCTCCGCTGGGTGTGTTGCTGTCGACTCCGAAGTGGGCTCTTCCCCTGAAGCAGGGAAAGTAAAGTTCAAAAATATTGCCATGATAGGATCGATACGAATGCGTTGATAGTGTTGGAGTTTAACAAGAAACACTGTGGAGTTACAGCGTGCGTAGTGCACGGAAGTCCGCTGTCTAGACCTTTAAAGCACAATGCGGGGAAAGTTAAGACGAATGCTAAGTACAGATGCGAAACACTTCAAGTTTCTCGAAGAGGCAAAAACCAAAATTAAGAAGGAAAAAAGAAAGTGCTAGTAAGTGCCCTGGTATATGTGTGTGGGAGGACCTGACCTTGGGTCCGGTAGCGGGTTGAGGCGACCCAACAAAGAAAGCGAGATAGTGGTGCTACAGGTATCGTACAAGAGATAAGAGGGCGGGTCCGGAACACGCTTCGGCGCGATCTAACAGACAACTCGAAGCATGCTTGAGTAACACTTCTAAGATTCGCGGGCGGCGCGGAACTGCCCGCAGCAAAAAACAAAAAGGGTTTTGGTGGAACACAAAAGGGCAAAGAGAAAAGGACTGGACTTGGGAACACGATCTATAGGTAAGCACCAGAAGTGGCCGTGCCCGGGGTATCCGAGACGGGTGGCACGCATCAAATCCTGGTTCAAGCCGCAGGCAATCTTAGCCCAGATGTTGGACCGAGGGTTGATTCGCAGGGGAAAACGACGAGAGGCGTTCCCCTGGAATCGCATCGGTGGATTCTGGAAGCACATGCATTCACATGTACTTCCTAGCCGGGTTATATCACACCGGGCTAATGAGCGTAGCGCCGCACACGGTGCACCAGACTTGGCCTCGCCATCCCCAATCACCATGCTCGTGGGAACGTGCGCCATCTGATTGGGCTCACGTTACTCAGAGGGTTGGTGACTCGTCTTTTTTTCGAATGCGGTTTACCTGCCCTGGCTTGTTGTCACGGCTCCGCAATATGTACCGTGGAATGTCAGAATCCACGGTCTTTGTTCGGCGAATATTTTTTGACATTTGTGTGACGTCGTCTTTTACCGTTTCATATGCAGGTATGCGCCAGCTGTCAAGTCATGAGGTCGCTGATTGAGTGTGCTGCAAGCTATCGTGAGCAATGGCTAGCTCATTGTTGGCGCTGCTGGCTCCCGTTGCGTCCGGTCAAGCAATGACTGGGACGTCCCTGACTTAATGATGGAGAGGGGGGATAGCAAAGGGCGCGCGCCCAGGGCCTCTGTTGCGCCTGCCCGTCTTTCTCGGGTCGAGGTTTTTGGGATCGGCGGAAAAGAATTTTAACCATGCATCGTGAGATCGTCATTACCCTCCTCTTTGTGAATTTTCGTTGTCATATGCCAGGGAAAAAATGGGGCTTATGAGAGATCCCTCGGTGGCTACAGTGCCAGTGGCAGATGCAGGCTGCAGCCCGCATCGTGAACTCCCCGGACACAAGTGCCGGTAGTCCAATAACGTGGCTCTTGCTGACGTCGTCACGCTTGAAGATTTGGAGCTAACATCTGGACGACGTGTCTGCAAGGGAAACTTGAAATTGCAGATTGTAAAGGTTGCTGCTGCTGGAAGGATGCGCTAGGCGGTTGCGCGGGAGCTACACCTTGCTATCGGGCCATCCCACATCCCACTCGTTCATTCACCCACCATCCATGGCCAAAACGAGTCGTGCATGTCAGCAGTCAAGATAGCACGAAGCCCGGATTAGGCAACTGGAAAGAAGCCAAGCGAGATTTGACAGCCACAGCGATAGCCGCAATGCACGAGAGCGGGGCGACCCAAACATTCTGCAGCACACCTAGACACTATCCAACTTCATAGGTATTGCAATACGGTGCTTTTATGATTGCACTTCATCGTGTGTGCGCATAATCTTGTTTAAAGGTTTGATTTCTTCGCTGCTTGCTCTCATCTATAACTACACTCCTACTGCCACACTCCTCCCGCCCTATCCTGGGCCATGCATGCGACGATGCGAAAGACACGCTTCCAGTGATATCTCTAGACGCCGTTGTGAACAAAGGAGATTCCCAAACGCAAAGAAACCAGAAAAAACGAAACACAGGAGGATATGAGATATTACGTATACATGATAAAGATATGCAGGTAACGTCACCTCTGGTCCTTTCTGCTAATCGCCAAGCAAACAAATCCAAAACTACGGCTGCATTGACAGCCGGATGCAAATGTCGAAAAGTAGAACGCCGTCTTTCATAATGGTTAAGACATGGTGATGCGCCATGTGCACTGCCCATGTGAAGCCAATTCGATTGATGATTACAGTGTAGTGGTATAGATGCCCAAAATGTACACATAACGCTTTGTCAGCTCAGTATCTGTTCTGTTGTTGTCGATGACGAGACATCGAGGAGCGTTTATACGAATCGATAATCTGACCCACCTGCTCCTCGTGCTCGCTCTGGCGTCAGTGCTCGTATCCAGCTCCTCGTTGCCATGGGCTTGACGAGTTGCCTTGACGATGCTGTTGATCGTTGCTGCTAGGTCGGTATGACGGCGCTGGGCTGCCATTGTCGTAGAAGGACGGAGGTGCCGGGGATTGGTTATCTTGGCTTCGCGGTGGTGCGGGAGCGTAGTGTTCACCGAAGCCACCCTCTTTCGCAGCGAGTTGGCGCTGCTCGTAATCATCGTCATCGTCGATGCGGCCTGGGTGAGTGCCCTTGCCCTCGCCACGTGCAGTTGCGCCAAGTGCGTCAAGCTCAGTGGTGAGCTGGGTCTGCGACTTGATGAAGGAGCCGCGATCATCGCGCATTGGCTGGTATCGGGTATCGGGGTTCTTGGTGAAGAGGGCAAATCCAGAAGAGACGAGAAGCATAAGAAGCAGAATGAGAGCAAAGGCGGCGTTGATGATGAAGAAGATGACACCCATTACACCGGTGACGATAGTCTAGTTTCATTAGCTTGGTCATGAGGATGAGTCGCATGTAGCTTACCGGCTGCTTGAAGATTTCAGTGAACATCAACAAGAGGAAAGCGCTGAGGAAGTTGACGGCGGCAATGGCAATGTTGAAACCGTTGGTCTTCTTGTCCATCCAGGGACGCAGTACGCACACACCGATGAGCAGGATAAGCTCGATGAGGAGTAGCGCAATACCTTGGAGCTTGCTGCTGCCCTGAGCAAGACCGACGAACATGGCCTTGATGAGGAGGTATCCGAGCCACGGGATGATGAACCAGTAGGCGGCGGCCTTGAACTGAACGTAGAGGAAACCCCACTTGTTGAGAGCGACAGGGTCCGAGTAGAGGATGTAAGCGGGGTTCTTGTGCATGGCAATGGAGCGTTGAGCAATGCGCACAACCTTGGAGGAGGCCCAGGTAAGAATGCCGATCATGGTGGCCATGGAAAGAATGGCCAGGACGACAAGACCAGCAGAGTCGCGCCTGGTCAGCTCCCAGAAACCGAGTACCATCATTTGGGGGAAGCCAATGAGAACCACACGGAACATGATGCCCTTGAGCACAGTCTGCCAGCCATTACGGAAGTCGACGAATTTGTCACCCTTCATCCTGCCAGCCTTGACGAGACCTTCGCAGATGAACTTGAAGGCAACGACGCCGATGACGGTAAAGATGATGAAGATCATGAAGAAGGTGTAGCCGGTGAAGAAAATGTTAGTCGTCTCGATCCTGGCCTTGAAACCGACGCGCTCTACACCGTGTAGGACAACGCGCTCGCCTCCAGCCTGGGCCTCAGTGGCAGCAGCATTACTACGGGCCATCATGCGGCTCATAGCGCCAGTAGTAAAGTCGAGGGCACGACGCATCTTCTTCATCTTCTGCACTTCGACGGAGATGAAGGACAACTGCGAAAGGTATGTGGTCGGAGTGCCACCAGTGGCGCGCTGATACCAAGTTGCCATCTTCTGGAGGAAACTGACACGGATAATGCCCATGGTCCATTGGAAGTTCTGGGTCCAGGCGGCGACAATAGGGGGCAGAGGTACGCCGCAGAGGCCGATGAAGGCTTGAGCCTGGAAATATCCGAAGAGAGACATGGCGTTGGCAGCAACGTGGGCGGCGGTATTGGAGTGACCCAGACCCGACGTAATGGCAGATGCCATCAAACCCAGACCAGCTATGACAGCTGTCACCCAGGCCACAGCCTTCTGGTCGACCGAATGTCCGTTGGATAGCTCGGCTTCAACACAGGCCAGGAGAACGTGAGTTTCTGAATCCTTGATTTTGACTCGCACGACGGCGTCAATGTCGGGAATAGTGTAGGCGATGCCTGCGAGTGTTAAAACGAAGCCAGCAACAGTCGTCTTGGTAGCTTACCTGGAACCTTGCTCAGAATCTCGTCGCTGATGTCAATGTTGGATTTGATAGTCAATGGTCCGGCATTCATGGGGCACATGCCCTCGAGCTCCTTCTGACCACATGGGTCGAGCTTCTGATTCATGGCGGAGAAGCCATAGACCAGCAGCTCGAGATCTGCCTCGATCTTGCCGGCAATATTTGAGATTCCCTCAATCTTGAAGCCCAAACTGCGGTTGCCGGGCGTGAATGCGACGTTGAAAAGGGTGGCAGAAAAGGACGAGTTGGCCATGCACGGGTTGAGCGACTTTGATTCGATGATGCGCTCGCCGGAGACGAGCGGCGCAGCCATGGCTCCCAGCCATAGCAGCGACTTGGCCAGCGAAAAGTGCATCTTGAGCGGTGGAAGTGGTGGTGTTGGGTCTGAGGTACTCGCGGAGGATGGGCCTCAGGCGGTGTCGTACTCCTTACGAGTACAGCGGGAAGGAGTCGGCCAAACCAGCGGCGAAATGTCCTTGTTCAGCGAGCGTCGGTGAGGTGACGGGGCTAGTGGGTGAGAATGGATACGGGAAGGCGCAAGTGTGGTGAGCGAGTGGCTTTCGGAAGCGACTTATTGGTGGTGAAGTCGAAAGGCTGGTTGCCCAGGACAACTGGGGAAGGGAAACCGGGAAGCAGCGAGGCGCGGCGGGCTGGGGGGGGGGGGGGTGTGGAACTAGTGTGAAGGGAGTGTCTGGTGTAAACGAGCGACTGGACAGGATGCGATCAGCGGATCTTCCCACTTGCGCGCGACCTTGACAAAGAATTTTTCCACTCGTCACCGAACAAGCTGGTGTTTTGGGAGTGCCTGAGGAGGAGCGAGCGATGGGGTAGAATGGTGAGAGGATCCCAGCTGCAGGAGCTGAGGTCTATGCACAATAGCGGACGACTTCAGGGGAGCGAGACTGCGGCGGTCGCGAGTGGGCCAAATGGATACGCGCGGCACCTGCTCAGCGCCCAGCCTTAAGGGTTAAGATTTGTCCAACGGCTGTCAGCGTACGAGGATGAGCAGACAAGTGCAAGCACGGCAACTGCGAACGTCTGATGTTGCGCCACACGACGAGCAAATGTCACTTTGCGATGAGAAAGAACATGGCCTTTTGCTTTCTTTTTGTTGTCTCGTTGCGCATGCTAAAAACAGACGTTATTCCCTTTGAGCTCACCTGGAACGTCCGGAAGCGGCAGGGGCGAATGCTCCGCCACACTCTCATACGCAGGAACAAATCACTTCCGCCCAATCAGCGCCACCCGCTAAGCCATATTCCCGCTGACTAACCCGTCCGCCAACCCGTCCAGCGCCCTTCAGTGCCAGGTCCGCCCAGTGTCTCGTATTGCCCTCATTTCGTCCTCGTATTGCCAGTGCCATCGACAAAGATAGATTTTGTTGAAATATCAACAATATTTTACCTGCCCAGATGATCCCAAGTCGCCGCAGATTGTGCGGGACTTGGGCATGCCACCCTTATGCGCTGCGGCATCCTGCGGCACACGAGGTCTGGACAGCAACCCCATCCGTGCTCCGGGAACAACGGATGCGTGGCAGCTGGGCGCGCGCAAAACTGCGTGGCGCCATTCTATACAAATGCACTTGGCTACAGATTCAATGACCCGTAGACTCGTAGTCGGTCAATAGTGAGAAAGTTGGCTTCGCTTGGCCGTCATCCGACATCCGCTACTCTTGCTCTACACGCGAGCTTGCGTAATGACTGGCCATGTCAAGCGTCATCGGCGGCTCTGCGCCCTTTACTGTACGTATGTACATCAAAACATTGCACTCAACGCGCGTACCGTACGCGAGCTGCGAACCACAAACGTCTCACGGCAATCTGAAACACCAGATCAACAGCGCGGCGAAAATCTTTCAACTACCCGTCCGCACGGCTGTCTATCAACATGTGCAAGTTACTTACGTGGGCAGCCTCACCCAAGACCTTTGCCTTGACCCTGAAGATCGTCATCTGTGGCGCGTACCTGCCCCACCAAAAAGCCGGCACGAACGCGTGTAACCGCAAATCCACCACCATCAACCAAAACCAAACTTGACATATTCTAGAAACGTGCCGTGCTCATGCTGTTGGGCACTCACTGCGAAACCGAAACCTCGCAGAAAGCGATGCTAAGTCTGCACCGAGGCTCGTGTATCGCACTCGTTTCAACAACGGTTTCTAGCATGCTGCATGGAGTATCCATGGTGTTATAGTGGTTGCCTGACTGTACCTGCAGCGCATTTAGTGGCTAGACATGGATGACTTGGAAATGTATTGCCGTCTGCATCTTGGAATGTTTACTGCAGTCTCTACGCAGCTAATTTTCTCACGTCTTTGATATCATGTCTCGTATCAACAAATCCAGAAACAGTATAATTGAGTAGACTACTGCCCTCTGCTTATCCTAAGTATCATCATCTTCCACATCTTCATATGCGACAGCCTTCTCAAGGAGATCCTGTCGTTTTAATTAACGACGCATGATATCGTCTCCGGCTTTACTTTGCCAATCACTGTCCCTTTATGGATACGGTCAAGTTACCCCCCCACATACTGTTTGTAGACAATCTGTCTCCTGCATTAAACGCTGTATTCTTCAATCTTCAAAAAGTATACGCATAAACTCGACTTTAAGAAGAGGTAAAGAGGGAGTACCAGCCGAGAGATGAGCAATAACAGATATGAGATTTGCATTGAATGACAAAAATGCTTTGCCAAGATTACTGTCTACACACCTTTGATTGAGAATGATTTGGCAATTTCAATCTTCTCAAATCATTGCTTCAGCACAACCCTAGACCTACTATCTCAAGTCCTAGCTGAAGACAAGATCCAACTGAGCCAAGGCTCCATTCGAAACGTGATGAAGACATCTGCGAGCCAAGTATGTGAAGAATACTATCTCGCGCCCAATCAGTCCTCTCGATCTCCTCATCCATACATCCACTCACTAAATCCTGTATCCTACAAAGGCGCAGGAGGATCTTTACACAACGGCGGAGAATCACTAGGTTCCTTTGGCGGAATCTCCCTGTGAGACTCCACCCTCTCTGCTTTGATAAAGACTGGAATCACACCGCCGGTTTCTAGTCGAAATTTCTGCGTGGTTCAAGTCAGCAAAAACAATGTCTTCTGCTCTGAAGAAAACCAGAAACTCACCCTGTGCCCCATGACCTCCAACAAACTTCCAATCGCGCCCGAATGACTCGTCATACTTAGAAGTACTCCCTCATCCTCAGCAACCACCCCATCCAAAAACACACCCAGCCTATACCGCCGCGCAGACGCCGGTTCACGGTAATCAGCCTTCCAGAGGAGATCCTGATCTGAGAAACCGGATTCAAAGGTGAGATGCGGATACGTGGCGCGCAGATGCGTTAGTGTACTGCGGCGGTCGCAAGTGTGTACGCCGAGAGCTTCGCGGAGGAGCTCTTTGATGAGGGGTCTGTAAGGGGGTTTTTGCGAGGGGGGATGGGGAAAGGGGAGTGTGGAAAAGGAGATATCGGCTGTTTGGATTGTACCTTTGGACGGATTAGTTAGGCCTGGGAAATCGATATTGGGAACATACGAGTCAGCGGCGACACATAAAAGGTCTCCGGAACCGGAATCCCTTCGTTTAGTTGTTGGGCCCAGAGATCTGCAACGTCTTTTGCTTGCAACTCGCCGACAGAGGTGAGGTGCGCATCTGCCCATGTTAGGCCGTCTGCGCCGTCGAGGGCGGAGTAATAACACTGTGAAATGTCAGCTTTTCATACAAACACACACTCCGTCTCTTCCATGTATGTGTTAAGAAATCGGATGTGAAGGGAAGGAAAACGTACATCCCACGCCTTGGTCCCATACTTTGCCTCTGCAACATTATGCCAGCCCTCTCCATGGCGGCCCAAGAAAAGCACTTTGTAACTTTCGTTTGGTTGCTTAGTCGCTTCTAGACTACGGACGTAGTTTTCAAAGCGCCTCCATTGAAATTCTGAAGCGTCTTCGTCGATGGGGTACGAACGTGAGATTAATCCGAAGTTATGGTTTCTCTGGAATCGTCGTTAGGATGGTGGACCTACACTTATGATTGTCTAGCTGTAACAACCCGCCGATACTCGCATGTACGGATTTGGTGTAGCTGTATAGGCGAGAAGACAAAGAAGATTATGGAGCATAGGATAATTCAAGGAAAGCAAACGAACAAAATCAAACTCCGAGTCATCCGTCTCATCCTCGCTCTGCATGAAGAATCCCTTCTGCACCGTGTATTTATAGTGGAAGCCAGGCGGCGGCGGTTGTGCCGGAGCCGTAGACGGGCTATCAGATGAACTCATGTTGAAGTAAAACACCAGTATCAACAAGCTGGAGACGAGAAATACGGGTCTTTTGGTGAGAATGTTAGTAAGTAGCTCAAACGGTTGTGTGCATGATTGAGGGGACCGCCTGGGGGGCCAAACTACATACACCGGAAAGCCAATGCCGATAATCCTAATTGTGTAACTTTTGGGGGAAAAGAGCATACCTACTATGCTAGAATTCAGGCTATCATGACTGTTGATGGGGACATGGACAGTTGTTGAAGAGCGCGTAGGAAGTGGGAGGTGCGACGACGAGCGTCGCTAGCTTGAACAAGCCAATCGCGCTGCCAAGGTCCTGGACGAACAGGTAGTCACTCTCCAGCGCTACTGGCCAACCAGTATATCAAGGAAAAGGTCAAATGTAGACTGCATGGGCACTTTATGGTCATGAATGGTGGCTTCTATGTAGCGTCTATAGCTGCTCAGCAGGAGCAAATTTCAGAGCCGAATAGAGGCTAGGTTGCCACGACTATCATGTCCAACCTCGGGTGCCTAACCGTGATGTCCTTCAAACGCCCATCCCAAGCCCGCTAATACAGAAGATGTTTGTTCACACAGCCTGACGTTTCTATGCTCAGAGCTGCGACGTCAGCAATGACGCGCTCATTTCTTCTTGTTCGGGAACTTGGGCTGCCCAATCTTGTCACCCCGGAGGACGACATTGAGCACACGCTCCATGGTCCCTAGCAACTTCTGGTCTGGTGTCGCAGTACCGCGCTCAAAGTCTGCAATAATCGTGGGTGTGCTGTTGCACTTTGTGGCCAAATCCTTCTGTGTCATCGTGGTGCCCTTGTCGTTCTTTGCCTCTGCGCGCGCCTTGGAGATGGCTTGACCGACAACGATGCCGACGGTCTTGGGCTTGACGATGTCATCGGAGCGGTCAACTTTGGTGAGGCGTTGACCTTCTGAGGAAGCGCCCTGTGGCTAAATCATTAGTATTGCTTTGGCTGAACCATACCGAGTCCGAAACTTGAGTTTTGAGCCAAGTTGGGGGTATCGGGACCACTTACGGCGTTGGATGAAGCGAACTTCTTCTCGGTGGCGATGACAGCACCGCTTCGCTGGGCCGCGTTCAGTGCTGACTTGCCCTTGACTACAGTCTCGCGGGGTGCAGCGGCGCCGCCACGAGTGCGGCTACCAATCTTGGTGACAGAGTTCCAGTCGTCAGACATATTGAATGTGTTTGGGGGTTTTTATGAGGTGGTGTTGTAGTTATGAAGGCTGAGTGAGACGGTGTCGTGTGCGGAGGGCGGGGCGCGATCTTTTTGTATTCGGCGTTTGCTTGTCGATCTGTCAGGCGGTAAGAAAAGTTGATGTAAAGTGGTGGGAAGTGATTTGGAGTCGAAGGGCGGTTAAGTCGAGTGGATTCAGCTTTTGCTTATGTAGACTATAGAGGCCCAAAGTGATGCAGGGCCGCGATGAGTCGGAGCGGGCTGGGCGGTGCCCCAGTGAGGTCACCGCCACACTCCTAGCGGCTCGCTAATGACTGCGTCTCTCGAACCTTCCATGGTTCGCATTCCACTGTCGCCCTTTTTCCGCCCTTTCACTCACCTTACTTATCCAAACCGCGACTCGTCATCATGTGCAGTGCGCATCGCGTGTTCTAGCCAACTGTCGTTGTAAGCTCTCAGTTCAGAGTCGACAGTCTGGTACCTTGTAGACACCTCTTCAGTATACGTCGTCCTTCCTTCTCGATGATGGACTCGTTTGTCAAAAGCAGGAAGACCAACCACCAACCCGTGTCAAGCTCTCACTTGTATATTGACCAAATTGCTTGCATGTCTGTTCATTTTCAGTGGACAGGCGCGGGTGCTTGGCACGGGACATGATATAACCAGACATTTGCTTGTGTGAAGTATTCATTGATGCGCTGAAGCGTTTACATACTTTCATCATGTCTACGTGCTCTTAGCTCATGGACTTTTGACAAAGACTCGTCTAGAAATCGACGAGCACCCAACCAGCCGCCGGAACGCCATTGCATGCATGCAGCCATATCAATCCACATGGTCCCAATCTACTCTGAACTCATACATTACAAGTTCGCCTGCGCAACTTCCCGTTCAACCTCGTACATAAAGTCAAAGTACGGCTTGTCGAAGTGGTGCACACGAACGTATCCATCTTCTCCTCCACTGCAGTAGCTGGTGCCTTGAGGGTGAACAGCGACGTAGTTGAGGGGTCCAAAGTGACCACGCACACGACCAATCTCCTCCATGAAGATCTTGTGGTAGAAACGCGCCTCGAATTTTCCTTGGCGAGCGGATGTGGTTGTGACGTCCATGGCGGCTTGTCCTCCGCCGAGGATAACATAGTCCTTTACTGGTGTGATTGCTGCCGAGTTCAGCGGTGTATCGGCCACGTATGATTTGAGGACGTTGAGGTCTTCAACGTCGACAAGCTATGGGATGTTAGATCTGAATGTGTTTAGCTAGGTTATCATTTCAACATACCTTGGCCGTCTTGTCCTTGCTTGCGGTGATGAAGTATGACCTGTCAGGTGCCCACTGAATGTCAGCTGCCAATTGTTAGCTACCATCCATACTGGAGCAGTATCGGATACTAACTGATTTGCATGTCTGGCTCATGGACGTCGTAGTTTGAGCTGAGCAGCTCTCCAGTCTTGCCATCCCATTGCGTTACTGAGCCATCTTCGTGTCCACTTATGATGTATTTCGCAAGATACGAGAAACCAGCGACTGTCGCCTTGGATTCGTCGCATACGATCCTGAGCAGTTGCTCATCCGACTGTTGTGCCTCTGGGTCTGGGTTGATTGGGTACACGCAGATGGTGGAGAGATGGCCGGATCGCTTCTCGGTAACACCGAGCAATTGCCTGCCGTCTGGCGAGAATTCACAGCGCTTGATACTGGTGTTGAACTCCCAGGTGTGTAGAAGCTTGCCTGTCTGCACATGCCATAACCGCATGGTGTTGTCCGCGCCACCCGTGGCTAGCAGCTCCGAGGATGGATTCACATCGACCGTCCATAGCGCTCCCTGATGTCCGTGGTATGTTCCTATCCGCTCGCCGTTGTGTGAGTCTGCATCGCGTCAGTCTTGCTCCCCTCTTCTTCTGTACAGTTTGTACTAACACCAAGCGCAAACGACGTGATCCTGAAAGCTGTCAGTATTTTTTCAGCATAATTTCAGCGAATCATCTTACCTTGGAAACGGAGAAAATGATATCTCCATCAGCATTGTACTGTCTGTTATTAGTATCGCCGTTCCCGATTACCCAAGTATTCGTTGACATGCCTTGACTTGCGTGAGTGCGCGCTCGTGCCCGGAAAGAAGAATCGGCCTCATGTTTGCGATGTCTGTGTGGAGGCGGGTATGGTTGTTGACTTATACGTGGCGGGCGGCGGCTGTGAATTTCGGCTGACTCTTTTGCATATCGACGTTCAGCGGGCGAAGTGGGCTGCTTGGCGCTAGCCGACTAGCGTCATCCGTAACAGCAGCCTCTCGACGTCTCTCTGTTCAAGCCTCTCTCAACAGCGTCAGCTTTCACGGAGAGGAGCCAGAGCCTCGTTTCAATGTGCAACAGATACTTCTTCCCTCTCTTCTACCGAGCCTAGCAGGCCTCTTTCAAGGAAACAACGATCCTCAAGGCCTTCAATCCTGATGTTATACTACGACGCTTTCCTGCACCTGCTTCCGCGAGCGATAGCGAGTCTTCAGCCTTTAATGTCTTTGATTGGAGAAAGATTAGACAGCTAGTCGATCGCGCAGTGAACGACAGGGACGAGAGGAACATCCCAAAGCTCAATCAGACTATTCATCATCTCTCTGTATGAGCAACGCTCGCTGAGCATGAGGTCAAGGGCTTACGCGAGGCTCTCGTCAACGAGAGAACGCGCAGGAAGCGGGGAAAGCCTCTCCTGCTCCGGGAGCCTAGGGAGTATCAAGGTAGAGCTATATTCTAGGTAAGGGAAGCACGCAGTTGCTAGCAGCTCCAGGAGCGCAAGGAAGAGTAGGCGCAACACCAAAAAGCTAGGGCAAGCAGGCCCTATGAGGAGTCGAGGTAGGCAAAGGTAAAAGAGAAGGAGATAAGGCGTCAGGCGAGGGCTGCAGCTAGAATAGTGAGGGAGAAGGAGAAGGCAGAGAAGGCAGCCTCTACCTCGCGCAGAGGGCGCACGAGCAAAACTCTAACTCGATTTCTATAGCTATATATATCAATCAAACTTTCTAGATCTCACCATTAAAAATTATCGCGACGATAGATATTGTGTAAGGTTTTACAGCCTCAAGTTGTAGGGCTGTTTGGTGTTTAGGTGGCTCGCTTCGCCAGGGGGCTCGTTTCGCCCTCAACCTCGGAATAAGAAAAGGCCCCAGAGCGTGCGCCATCGCCTCCACCTAGAACTACCTGCCGAGGGCGCCACGTTGATATTCCAAAGATACTTGTGTATTGAAAATTGACTGTAAGATCATAGACGCTGTTCTGCTACAAATGCTCGTAGGGATAGCTAGTTATTGTGGGTGGCTCAGCTGCCTCAACTTTGCAATGCGAGATAGTTGTTAGGTGGCTCGGATGCAACTCTAAAAGCAATGGAAGGAAACTAGAGCCAAAGACAACTCTTTATAAACGCGACTTTTATTCAAGTCGCTTGCGTCCATGGAGATAGCCCTGACATCTGTGATAGATGCGGTGCCACCTATGTCTGCATCTTTCTCTCATAAGTGTGCTATCACTACGTAGCATGAGTATGGGCTCACAGAAAGATGTGGTCAAACAATGTGACTGGGATCCTTATTGCTTTTCTTCGCCGTCTTATCTCGCCTCACACAGCGACAATCTTTCCAGAATCTCATCCAACATCACTTCAGAAAATGAAAGTCCCACGGATAAAGCACGTACGCAGATAAAGTAATTGGAACACATAGGACAAAGAACCACCAGAATCGCACGCCGTTCTGTCCGAGGACATCTTGAAATGTTCATGCCAATAAGCTGGTGCTAAAGGTGAGAGGAATGAAGAAATTTGCCAACAAAGTCAGCTTTTTGAGTCGTTCAGATTGCTCAATCGCCTTTCGCGGCTCCTCAATCGTAGCTTTGTTCATCGCCAGATCTATACCCTGAGTGTACATTCTCGACAGGTCGATACAACGAGCATGAAGCTGCTCGTAGTCTTCCCAGAGGTTCTTCGCTGCAAAAGCATTTTCGGAATTGTTTGATCCCACATTTCTGGCTGCCTCGGTTTCTGACGTCTGTCGGTGCATACCGATGCTTGAGGGCACAGCGATTTTAGGCATTGGGCTTTCCGCTCTGACAGGATTTGACCTTTGATTACTTTGATTGAACAATTTGCAGAATGCGCGAGTGCTTTCTGTCAGTTACCGGGCATGCCTATCGAGAAGTCTTCTTCACACGAGTGGCTTTCAGCAACGGAATAGTCACATCTCTCCGAAAACCAAACCTTACTCATCTCAAGGCATATGGCTGCAAAGATTTTGCCATGACGGACGACACCCACAGAGGAAAGTCGCGCCTACAACACCCAGACCCAAAGGCATGGATCGGATACCTAGTAGGGTACCGATCATCAAACATCTATCGCATCTGGATACCTTCACTCGCCAAAGTGATCAGCACTAGAGACGTCGTTTTCGACGAGAACTCAGTATTCGACGGCAAGACCGAAGACCTGATGGAAAGCCTCATGCACAGTACGCTGGAAGAAATCGCGACATATATGAGGACTATCGAGCTGCCAGCACCAGCACAGCAACCAGAGACAGAGACGCCAGAACTTTGAACAGCTTATCTTCCACCAATTGGAACAAAACATCTTCGCTCACTAGGTAGCCTAGATCAGATCGCCTGATCTTCATCTCTAATCTCTAACCGCTCCGCTATTGGTTTGTAGACGGGTAGGAAGTCACTTAGACGATAACGATGATTATTAGCGCAAATTTGAAGAAACCGAATAATGGACTGACACAATGGCTTTCTTGTAATTGGAGGCTGTGCGTGGCGGTGGAACACATCTCATCTTCAAGTAAGACTCGGCACTACGGCACACTCGGCGGCAATGGTACGATGTTGGTGAGGGATCGCCCGCACATCTGTGTCACGTGTTGAATGAAGCCTTCAAGGCTCAACTGGATCTCAACCTTGGTTCTCAACGCAACGAAAATATAGGTACCAGAGTTCAACTCAATGAGTCTGCTGATCGGCCTTGGATGGTACTGTTGCCTAGAGACTGGGGAGGGTAAGTTTTGCGTAGTGTGTTCAATTCTTCCTCATATACGAGAAGGTCCATGCGTTGGGCTTCACAAGGACATGCGCGGCTTACTCGGCGTGACCAGGATGGGAGTTGGGCGTTACCGCATATCTGTAGATCTAATTTAAGCTGCAAGTGCATGGGAGTTCATATATTCAATAGCTTTTAGCCTCTACAGGTCATTTTATCAGTGATAACTGAAACTACGTCGAGAATTGGACACTCAAGCATTAGCACATAGCAAATGTGACTCTCACCAGATACCATAGTACATGGTGGCTAAAGAACTGATGCTTACGAGTGACCCAAACGATCGTCAGTGAGATATTTATTAAACTTTGGTCGGGCCTGATGTTACGACAGTCTGGCAACAAAACAGTCCTAGTCACAACCAGCGCTTCCGAGTGATCCATATGGTTTAGTATTCGTGTCTGTCATACTTGAGCTCTTCCCGCACATATAAATATTGGTGCTTTAGGGCCAATTTTCCCGTGCCAATTTATCACCAAAAGTATCACATCCGTCAAATTCTATTAACTATCTACCCTAAATTCACAATGAAAGCGGTTTTTGCCTTTACGATTCTTACAGCATTGAGCCAAAATGCACTTGCACAATCGTGTATACCTGACGGCGACATTGGACCAAGCCCCCCAAAGCGGCAACTGTTGCGCTGGCTGCGCATGGAATAGTTATTGCAATGGCAGAGGCGGTGTACATTATTTTAGTCAAAATAAATTTCTTAATCTAACTTTGTTGTACAGATAACGTACTATTGCCCATCGGTCTCAGGCACTAGATGTAACTTAAAAGGCCCTTCTCAGCCCTGTTTCTAGGCTGTAAATTTCAGCGTGTTGTGGGAAAAGAATCAAGAGGCTAAAATTACATTGTGTATTTCTGCGCCAGAATGACTCTTATGTAGAGTTTATATCAACATAGATGTGTACTCAATCGGTATACATATTTACGCTCTAAAGTCTCCTAATAGGGATTAGTCTTCTTGAAAAACAACGTAACTATTCTTTTGAAATAAGCCAAAATCCCTGAGCACTACCGATTGATGCTATAATTTATTCACTTTATTACTAGCTTAACGTCCCCTAAGTGCTAGGACATCCTCCGTGTTAGAATAAATAAAGCGTACTTTACGTTCTGTTATAGATTAAGCCACGCCTCTCCTAGGCCTAGACTAGTACGGGAGGGAAATAAAAGCTATAAAACACCTAGATAGATCTTCTCTCCCTAAGCTATACAATATTATCCTTTACCTCTAACAATCGTACTTTCAAGGGCTAGACCATGCCATAACGCAAGTAGCCACGCTACTTGCGACTTAGTTACCTTCGCGTAAGTCTGAGCTTGCTGAGATAACCCACGTCCTTCATGGGTGAGTCACTGCATTGCTCAACTTCAACAACCTCCCTTGCCTCAGACAACTATCCAGCACACCGAACCGAAATGATTTAGACTTTGACTGGATATAATGTTCCGAAATGTTGCTGACGTCAAGACCGGGATCATTGATGTGTCAAAGGGGCAAAGGTCATCGAACTGCTCATCTCACAGTAGAACAGAACAGAGTCATGAAACGGAAGGCGCTGCTATAGACGCTCATACAGACGCTTGTTGTGACTCAGAAGCCGTTATGTGCTGACGCTAGCCTTCTGGTCATGTCTACCCGAGATCAGGGCATGTTTGGTTATGGTTCACAGTGAAGCCCTTGGCATTGGAACATTAGAATCTTGCTCTGTCTTTCCACAGCAAGTTAAGATGAGAGTAGGTATTCAGTTCATATACCTATTACGGTAGTGTTTGCCCAATTTTGATTTCATCGTCACATACGCTTCTCAGTCACCCCCCATACTCATTTCATCACTGTTCACCATTTCAAGTTTGGTAGGAGTCAAAATAGCCAAAAATATACCGCCTTGAACCGCCCTCATACTTGTAAAGAAAGCCTTGGGAAACGGCTTGGCTGCATGTCATTTGATAGTGGACGATTGAATCTCATCAGTGGAAGTGAATGTGAGCTTGACTATAGATAGCACGCATTCGTGCAGATCTCTGATGCTCTATTAATCTCATTGCATCTACGTAATCATGATCAACCGTATGCCATCTTCCCCGCAATTATGTTTCACCAGGAATGCCCGTGTTGCGCTTGCCGCTTGCTGCTGCGCAGTCTTGGCGCAAACGTGCTCTTGCTCCCAAAGTCGCAGCTCCCCACAACAACAAACAGCGTCAAGCACACCTTCCCAACCGCCTCAAGCACAAAGACAATATTCAAGGCGGCCTTCGCCCTGATCGCTAGTTGCGTTGGCAACTGCAACGCGCAACTAATATCACAAGCATGTCTTCCTCATCGCATGATAGTAGCACCATAACGCCGGCGCTAGACCAGCTGCAGCCTCTGGAGCTAGACAACTACATAGTCGCCATAGGTCCAGGTCACGAGCAGTTTACTGGCACTCCCAGGGGTTATAACGTGTAAGTTTTAGGACATGGCTAAATGTGGTATCGTCACAACTGACCATGTCGCGCAGCACGCACCTACCGCTTACTATATCCAGCGCGATTGCTTCAGGTTACATCAAGAAGATCACATGGGCTTCGTATGGCTGCAAGGCCGAGTCCTGGTTCTTCGCCTTTGAGCTGGCAGATGGAAACCCCAGTTTCGAACATGGCGACGACATCCCGCCTGCCTTGGTTTCATTCATCAGAAGTCTTCGAGGCTCCCAAGTCTTACTTGCTGCATTGCGCGTACAGCTTGGAGCCAATGATTCCTTCGTGGCATGGTCTAAGTCAGCCTGGGCTTGCGCAAACGTTCCCCCTCAGCTCCGAGCCAAATTGTCAGTAAACCAATGCAGATTGACGTATCCAATGACTGACTTTGGTTCAGGCGTGAAGGTAGTTCTGCTTCTCTCGAGGGCGTCATCACCAAGGGTTCGTTGAGGAACGGCACACTAGACAACGTCCAGTGGCACGCCAACGGATCTTTCTACATCAAGAGCAGACACCTTCATCTGGTGAATTTCCAGTCGAAGCTCATGGATTCGAAGTGGAATGAGCTATGGGAAGGTCTCACACGAAGCGAGCGGATACGCAAGATCAATGGAGAACTTGCCGTAAGTAATCAAACTCTTATCCAGGCACTACTACGACTGACACATAAAGTACGTGGCTATCAACTCATATTCACGACAAGGAGAGACTTTTGTTTTCATCAAGAAGCAGGTACAAGGCAAAGAGCCTCCCTTCATCGTGAGCTTTGAAGGAGAGCCCGTGCACTCCAACCTGGCCATCGGCACTCAGGCTACGGCTGATCCAGTCACCGCTAGCAAGGGCCCTCACTCAGCTCAGCGCAACCGGCAGGCATTCCCACTACCAAAAGAGACTTCTCTCCCAGACCGACGTATCCAACATGTTCCCCAGCAGCCAAAGGAGGACGTTCCTTTCCAGTGGGCAACCAGCAAGAAGTCAGGCCAACCTCACGCAAGTGACGGATGGGAACTAAAGCTGACCAAGGGCAAGAAGGTCAAAGTGATACGGGACATGGGGCGTAGTTGGTTTCTGGTGATTGGTGAACAAGGCCAACAGGGTTATGTGCACGGCTCCTGGCTTGACTTTGGCGACGGAAAAGTGCACCATGATTCCAAGGCCGCTTACACGAAGTTCGGACAAGATGTGGAGCTGCTGCAGCTAGTACCTGGTAGGCTGGTCAAGTTCCCCAACATGGCCAGCTACGTAGACGAGTGTACACAGCCGGGATGTCAACGACTTAAAGAGGACAACACCAAGTTGGGTATCTGCATCCACGACCTGGGAGAATTGTTAAAGGCCTCGGATAAGTATTCCTACGAATGGCTAAGGGAGGGGCGCAATGTCTGGCACCCGGACAGGTTTGCCCGCTTTTGCCATGCAGAGCATGTGGACGAGATGAAGCCTATGGCAGAGCAGATGTTCGTCATGTACACCAAGCTCATGGATGTCTACAAGGTTTAGTTTGGGGACTTTGCGGTTCCGATGGCTGGCTTGATGGGGTCCCGGGGCGCTAGCACGGTCGGCGAGATTGAAGTTTTTGGCATGAGCAGCGATAAGTTACATGCTGGATAGTAACGTTTGGCTCGAGTATGCGGGCAATGTATAGCGTTCCCACCAGAAGAAAGCACAATCCAGGCAGATACCAATGCTGATGTTTACCTACGAGGCGTGGTACGTAATGACACGGACGCGAGTCGCGCAGAAGAAAAGTTCGGCGCCGGGTAGCTCTCACCTTTCTCCGAATCGGAGTGCAGTAGCATGGGCCGGACTAAGTGAGTGAAATGATAGATAGGACAGTATCAGCCCTTCGCGCCCCGTACACTCTTCCTGGAAAAGATACGCCGACTAGGCAGGGAAGACGATGAAAGTGTATCCGATCTGCGGCGGACGCGCTGGTGTTCTCGCCCGTTGCTTTCCGCAAGCTACAACAGCTACCTCGCCGCGAAAATATTGGTGCGCGACGTCTCCCCGCCATCTATATACTGTCGTCAAGACTGCAAACAGTGCCAGACAATTCTCCAGCACGCGCTTCATCATGGCTGGACAGAAGATTGACGGCACTGCCATTGCGAAGAGCATCCGCGAGAAGTTGGGTGCCAAGATCAAAGAGAGGCAGGAGAAGAATCCGCGATATCGGCCAAGTCTGAAAATTGTCCAGGGCAAGTAAAAGGCATTGCAGCAGTTGGCGAAAATGGATACTAACAGCATGCAGTTGGCGACAGATCAGACTCTAGCACCTATGTGCGCATGAAGCTCAAGGCCGCCGAGGAGGCCAACATCGACTGTGAGCTTGTGCATCTCGACGAGGACCTGACCGAAGGCGAGCTCCTGCACAAAATCTACGAGTTCAACAACGACCCCGCCGTTCACGGTATTCTTGTCCAGCTGCCTCTTCCCAAGCACATCTCGGAGCACACCATCACTTCGGCCGTTGCCGACGAGAAGGATGTCGATGGTTTCGGCATCCAGAGCATCGGCGAGCTGGCCAAGCGCGGCGGCAAGCCTCTGTTCACACCATGCACGCCCAAGGGTGTAATGGTGCTTCTCGAGGAGGCCGGTGTTGACATCAAGGGAAAGAACGCTGTGGTGTTGGGACGTAGCGACATTGTGGGCAGCCCTGTCAGCTATCTGCTGAAGAACGCGGACGCGACCGTCACCGTGTGCCATTCGCGAACGCAGGACCTCCCCGAGATTGTCCGTCGCGCAGACATTGTCATTGCTGCTATCGGCAAAGCACAATTTGTCAAAGGAGACTGGCTCAAGCATGGTGCCGTCGTTATCGACGTTGGTACAAACTTCATTCCAGATGACACCAAGAAGAGCGGACAGAGGCTCGTGGGTGATGTTGACTACGACTCCGCGGTCGAGGTCGCATCGCATATCACTCCGGTACCAGGAGGTGTTGGACCTATGACGATTGCCATGCTGCTACAGAACCTCGTCGATTCGGCCGATGCAACCTACGACCGCCAGAAGAAGCGCAAGATTTCGGCGCTCCCGATCCGAATTGAGGACCCCATTCCCTCTGACATCGCCATATCGCGAAAGCAACACCCAAAGCAGATTACGGCTGTAGCAAAGGAGGTCGGAATTCTGCCTCACGAGCTGGAGCCGTATGGCGCCACAAAGGCAAAGGTCGATCTATCACTCCTGAAGCGCCTCGAGCATCGCCGGAACGGAAGGTACATTCTGATTGCTGGTATCACACCGACACCCCTGGGAGAGGGCAAGTCGACCACCACCATTGGTGTAGCACAGGCATTGGGCGCACATCTTGGCAGGATATGCTTCGCCAACGTGCGACAGCCTAGCATGGGTCCTACCTTTGGTATCAAGGGTGGAGCTGCCGGTGGAGGATACAGCCAGGTCATTCCTATGGATCAGTTCAACCTCCATCTCACTGGTGATATCCACGCCATCACTGCAGCAAACAACTTGCTCGCAGCTGCCATCGAGACGCGCATGTTCCACGAAAACACACAAAAGGATGCTGCCCTGTACAAGCGATTGGTACCGGCCAAAAAGGGCAAGCGTGAGTTTGCGCCCGTCATGTTCCGTCGTCTCAAGAAGCTCGGTATCGACAAGACCAACCCAGACGATCTGACTGAAGAGGAGATTACCAAGTTCGCCAGATTGGATATTGACCCTGAGACCATCACCTGGCGACGAGTTCTCGATGTCAATGACAGACATCTGCGCAAGATCACCATTGGTCAAGCACCGACGGAGAAGGGTCAGACCCGTGAGACTGGATTCGACATTTCCGTCGCCAGCGAGTGTATGGCTATCCTTGCCCTCAGCAAGGACCTTTCAGATCTTCGCGAGCGTCTCGGCAGCATGGTCGTTGCCAGCTCGCGTGCAGGCGACCCTGTCACTTGTGACGACATTGGTGCTGGTGGTGCCTTGACTGCTCTACTAGTGGACGCTATCAAGCCCAACATGATGCAGACGCTTGAGGGAACCCCCGTATTTGTACATGCTGGTCCATTCGCAAACATCAGTATTGGTGCCTCGTCAGTCATCGCCGACAGGCTTGCTCTCAAGCTGGCTGGTACTGAGCCGGATGAGGACCACGACGCGCAGACTGGTTTCGTCGTCACTGAAGCTGGCTTCGATTTCACCATGGGAGGTGAGCGCTTCTTCAACATCAAGTGCCGCTCTTCCGGCCTCGTACCCGACACAGTCGTCATCGTCGCCACAGTCCGAGCCCTCAAAAACCACGGCGGCGGCCCCGACATCAGCCCCGGCGCCCAGCTACCCGAAGTCTACCGCACCGAGAACATTGACATTCTCCGCGCTGGCTGCGTCAACCTCAAGAAGCACATTGAAAATGCAAAGCAATACGGCGTCCCCGTCGTCGTAGCCATCAACCGCTTCGCAACCGACACGCAAGCCGAAATCGACGTCATCCGCGAAGAAGCAATCGCCGCTGGAGCCGAAGACGCAATCCCCGCCAACCACTTCGCAGAAGGCGGAAAAGGAGCCGTAGACCTCGCCCGCGGCATCATCGCCGCCTCGGCAAAACCCAAACCAGACTACAAGCTCCTCTACGACACTTCCTCGGGTACAGTCCAGGAGCGCATGGAAATCATCGCAAAGCGCATGTACGGCGCCGACGCCGTCGAGTTCAGCGAGCTCGCCCAGAAAAAAGTAGACACCTACGTCAAGCAAGGGTTTGGTAACCTACCCATTTGCGTAGCAAAGACTCAGTACTCGCTTAGTCATGATCCTAGTCTCAAGGGTGCGCCCACGGGCTTCACGGTTCCTATTCGTGATGTTAGGATGGCTGCTGGTGCTGGATATCTTTATGCGCTTGCGGCGGATATTCAGACTATTCCTGGACTGCCGACTGCGCCTGGCTATCTTAATATCGATGTTGATGTTGAGAATGGGGAGATTGATGGTATGTTTTAGATGGGGGGTTGTAGGGCGATGAAGCGAGTGAGTGGGGGATGTGTGAGCGTTCAACAAGCTCACTACCCTCCTCCTCGTTATTGTCGTTGCTGTTGATGGAGATGAATCAGTTTCTTCACCGTCTATGATGACTACTATCGGCGTTTTTCTCAAATCTTCAGGTGGGTAAAGGGCGCATACTTTCAAAGGGCGGGCATCTGAATGTGTTCAACAGCATTCATTTCCTTTTATACCACCACATGGGGGCTTGTTGTATTTTCACTTTTTTTTTCAACACGGGAATGTACGGACTCAAAGGGTAACGTAGCGTAAGCGTTCAAGGCGAAGGTCGTTTTTCATTCAACTTGGGAACGGTCTTTGGAAAGGCTAGATAGACATTTGATAGCCTACTTTCAATCTGACTAGAACATTAGAAAGAGACACAGGAAGACATCAAGTATTAAAGATCAAAACATGTCATGCTTGATGAGTTTATTGTCTCCATGTTACAAGTACTAATGACTACCTACTACTAAAAACAGCTTGTTGAAATCCATACAAACTATGCACTCGCCACTTTAGCATGACGGTCTCCTTGATCCTATTTTCCTTTCTTTGCTAAAACCGACTAGACTAGTAGTGCAAACTGAGATTGAATTATCCTATACTACGCCTTCTAACTTTCTCCTAGGAATCATACTCTCAACGTACTATGCGGATGCGTATCGTCAACTCATTAGGAATGTGATTAGGGGTCGTCTACATCATGCCGAGATCCGACATGGCCTTGGCGTAACTGTCCCAGTCGGTAAGGGCGCCGAGAGCGCGGCGCTGGTGTGCGCTAAGAAGGGTGAGACCATAGATGTAGCTTGCGTTGACCCATCCGAAGCTATTGCTTTGTTAGCGGCATGCGATGCAAGTCTTGATGAGAAAGCTTACCCTTCGCGAGGAACACCCTTGAAGTCACTGCCCTGGTTGCCATACTCTGCCTCGACCTTGTGGGGATCAATCTTCCTTGTGACATCGTACTTTTCAACGACAACACCGTTGAAGTCGACAAACGCCTTTGTGACCATGAACAGCCAACGGTACGCTAGGCGCTGGGCCTCAGCATCGTAGCCGTATCGCTGCATACCAACCCATGCAAGCATCTGCTGTGGTGCCCAGCCGAAAGGATAGTCCCATTGTCGGTTGGGTCGATCAAGGCCAACCTTGCCGCGCGACTTCTCCGTACCTGACACTAGTCCACCGAAGGCTTCGAGCTTAGGCAAAGCCTTCTCCACTAGGATACTAGCCTGGCGGGGCGTGGCAAGACCGGACCACATGGGCCAAAAGGTAGTGGCACTCTCGTAGCCGGTACGCTGCTGCTTGACGGTGTTATAGTCAAAGTACATACCAGCTTCCTCGTCCCACAAATACTTGTCGACCTGGACACGGCGCTTTCTAGCGCGGCGTTCCCATGAAGCAGAGTTTTCGATTTGACCAGGCTTCATGTCACCCGTGCAGAACTCTGCTGGAATCTCGAGCTTGTCGCCGAAGTGATTGCGGATGCAACGACCAATGTCGACTTCATACTTGTACAACAGCGCGTTGATATCGACAACTGCTAGATCAGCAGCGACCCTCTCGAGACGATATGAGGTATCGTGGCCTGATTCACGCACGGCACGGTCGTGCAGGAAGTAGTCGTCGAGTTCGGGTTCAACAACACGCTGGTAGTTGTAGGCGTCAACAAACTCCTCAAAAGTCATACCATGCTTGTCGGCATAGGGCTTCAAGATGTGCTCGAAATGGGTGGCTTCCGTTTCCGGCGGCACACCCAGTCCTCCGGGTCGATAGCGAGTAAGACCAGTGACGGGATCTAAACGAGGTGGGGACATCCACACCGAATGGTATTCCTTGATGGCAGCAAGGATAGCCTCTCGGAGAAATTCGAGGGCGCCAGGCTCGTGCTTGATGCGTTCATAGCATCGCAGAGCCATGTCGGTGAGGAAGGGCGGCTGGGAGCGACAGAGGTAGTAGGTACGGTTCGCGTTGAGAATCTTGTTGTAGTGCTTGATGCAGAAACAGAAGTGAATGACCATGGACTTGACCAGGTCGACACGGTCGTTGACGAGAAGGCCCAAGGACTCCATGTAGCTGTCCCATCCGTACAGTTCGTTGAAGCGACCACCTGGGACAACAAAGGGCAGGCCCCTCAGGTCCTTCTTGTTGGTTTCAGGGTCAATCCACTCTTCCATGGCAATGGCGAGCAGACCAGGTGCCTTGTTCAAGTCGCGCACGTACTGGTCGTTGTCGCAGTCCTTGGCGAGCCAGATAACGTCGAGGCGCATGTCTGGATGCTCGCGAGCAATGCGAGTGTAGTATTCGTATTGCTCTGGGGCACCCTGAGGAATGTATATACGGGGACGCGGGTCATCGGTCCAGTCCTTGGGGTCAACACCGACTTTGGCAATGTTGGAGCCGTCGATGCGGCGGGTGAGGCCATCCCAGAAGGAAAATTGAATCAGACGGCTGAGGCGGTTTACTGGGTTCTCGTTTAGACGCGACTCGTCGAGGACAATGGTCTTGCGGCCATAGTCCTTGGCGAGCGTCAGCTCTTGGAGCAGGTTCGAGAGCATGTAGGTGCCGCGGACATCGTGTTTCTTGAAGGCATTGGAGCCAAGGGTGCCGAGAGATATCGTCTGGTCTTTGTTAGCCAAACTCTCCACCGAGCAGTATCGCGTCGCCGTACCTTGGGTCCCTTGTCGTCAATGGTGATTTGGTAGTTCTGGTCGGAGTCTTCACGGGCAAGGAGCTGCTGTAGCGTCTCCTCGACGTTGATCTTGAAGCGGCGCGGCTGCAGCGAGATTTCATCTGTTGTGGTCAGCTCGGGTCCAGAAGCGTCTTTTGTCCAGGGCGCGTACCGTGGCTGATGCGGCGGCCAGCGGTGATGCCGTCGGTAATTGGGGCATTACGCGTGGATTGGTCTACGTTCTGTCCCGTGTTAGCACCGCCGTCGCCCATCTGGGGAACACGGGACAAGCGGGGCACTCACGGCCGAGTAGGTTCTCGCCCTCGCATGCTTCTTGGAATGACTTTCGCCATAGTAAATGTGCGGTGCAGCGTACGGATCAATGGCAGTCGAGGTTCGTCGAGGTTTCGAAGATTGCGAGCTCATGCTACGATGTGGGGGGCGGGTGGACGCAGACACCAGTCAAACCGTCGTATGTTGTGCGGTGTTGTGTGGTGCTGTGTGGTGCTGTCTTGGGGCAGGTGCGTGGTGAAGATGTGCAGTGGTAGTGCTATGGCGTAGGTACTGTCCGCTCTGGGTTAAGACGGCGATACAGGCCTGGGGGTGGGGGTGGGGCGGCACCTTTGTACTGAAGATGTTTCACCCGGAGGCCGCAATGTCAGACAGCAATGTGTGGTCTAAGGGACTAGGGCAGGTGGCGTATACGGAAGCGTATGTGGAAGCTGATGCGGTGTAGGAGAAGACATGGTGTTGTTGAGCCGGTCTCCTAGTTTTGACTGCTGCAGCCCCGGCAGGTCCGCCGATGGCTTCAGAAAGCATAATAGGCAGGCGCAATGGTGGGTCTGGCTATCACGATAGGTAATGACGGCGCAGGCGGTGAAGACGCTTCTGCATTTGTTCCAAGCAATGGGGTGATGGGCGCAGGACCCAGGAACCTTCATCCAGGTGCGAACGCGAATTGCACCGGAAGTCCCGTGCAGCTGCAGCTGCAGCTGCACCTGAGCTCCTCCAAGTGCAAGCTGCAAGCACCAATTCCCAATTCCCCGACAACTCCCTTGTACCTGCCGGCCCCGACCACCTGCACCATCATCGCGACTGCCACGCCGAGCTTCTGCCGCCCCTCAGAATGACATAGGCCCCCCCCCCACTACGACGTCATCGCTCTCGACAATATCTGAAATCCTCAATCGGACCTCTGCCTTGTTACGTCCCATGGCCGTCAAATCGCCCTGGTGAGCCTCAATGGCTCCCGACGTCTTCTCTGCCGTGTGCCAAATCTTTTTTCTTTGGCTTTTTTTCCTTACCACCCTTGTCGTCCTCGTGCATAACTCCTAAGCATTGCGCGTCCTGTGACTGGTTCGCCTGGCTGGCTCGACCTGGCTTTCCGTCAGCCTGCAGACGCACCCCCCACGCCTCCAGCTGCCTCTGTGTACCTCCGGCTACCACCATCGTGACCTTTTGGCGGCCACGACTTTTACCTTTGGCTGACTCTCTCGCCTAAATTTTCTCTTCTCCATAAGCCCCGGATAGGTGGACAATTCTCGCATCTCCGTCGCTCAATGCTCCCGTCTTAATCATCACTCATGTCAGATGACCATCTCGGGACATTCCGACTTCGGCTCTCCAGCCGCGCCCGCTCCTTCCTCCACTTCCTTTTCCTCGTCACCGCATCACCACAGAGTAGAATGGCACTGATGGTAAAGTATGGGTCTTGCATGTTATGCATTGATCAATCCGCCTCACGGAGCCCCCCCCTACACTCCAGACCATGATTATAAGCTACACCGCCGAATCCTCGTTACAAACGAAACGTAATATCGCTACCGCTATTCATGACAAAAGAGATGGTAATCGCAATCTTTTTTGGCTGTCAATGAGCCCCAACGCCTTCGCTAACAAGCAATCAAACAAACGCTGCTCAAACACCGGCAAACCGGCTCATGTATCCTGACTTCAAACTTCAACTTTCTTCGCGCTGGGCTTCCAGCTCTTCTTCATGCTCCTCCACCTCCATCTTGCTCCCTTGGCTGATTCTGGTACCGGTGTGCTGCTTAGAGTGGCCGAATCTGGTCGTGGGTTGTCGTTGTTGCCCCAGCTGCTCGATGAAGTTGCGAATGAGGTTGCGATGGAAGCCGTTCTTTGCATCTCGCACCCATCTGCGCTCTCATATATCCTGAGCTTCGACTTCGCTCGGGTTGGGAGAGGTTCTTGTAGAGCAAGAAAGCCAGAAGCGAAGCAGCCGCCGTACGCCTTCAACACCTCCAGAGACGCTGCTCTTCGCAGAGCCATTGTTTGTCTTTGGGCATCCGCATCTCCGTCATCAGACTCGGCAAAGTCGCCATCGTATCGGTAGTACAGTTCGGTGTAGCCAGCCGCTGACTGTTGGTCTTCTAGATGGCAAGCACTATCCGCCTGTGTCTTGTTAGCATGAAACCATGGAAAGACTTCATCAAGATTCGGCACATACCTTTGAGTGGATGGAACTGTGTGATCGCAAGTTTTCCTCGGTGAGTTGGGCTTGTGAAAAGCATACATCCCAGTTGGGGGTTCGTCCAAGGTTCTGGTACATGTTGATGTTGATGGTGGTCGATTGAGTGCTTGTGGTTGATGCTTCACTGGATGAGTGGAATAGGGAATCGAGTCCAAGTTCTTGGTTATAGTTGTGATTGTGGTAGTAGAGTTGTTGGTTGTTGTCTTGGACGAGTTGGTTGATTGATCCAGAGGCTAGGACGACCAAGTCTTATATATCAACCGTGACCTTGGAACCCCAGCCAGGCAATCAGGATCATACCCACCAGACCATGCGCCATAGCGCCGCGCTCGCCGATTAACTCCAGGGACCAGGTTCCCAACTACAGCCAAGACAGTGGTACATGGCTGCCGCTCTACCGTTTCCGTCACCTCTCGCGCTCTGGCCGGATCAGCCCTCGTTGCTTTTAGTTGCCGTCTGCGCAGGGGCCGCATGGCAGATCCTGGCCTGCTGAACCAGAGGCTGGCTGCTCAGGCACGCACAAACTCCACACTACCTCCTTCGTGGCGTCTGCACACGAGCCGGCCTATCACAAACTACTGTCTCCGCATAATTCAAGCCTCAACCCCTCTTGTTAGAAATTTATTCACACATGCCGATCAGGCACGGTCTGAGTTTCACACAAACGCCTCTACCGCACTCAATTGTCGGTATGGCAACCTGGCATGCCAGTAAACATACGGCCCCCAGCCACGGTGGTAGAGTTCAGGCTGAGCGCTCACCTGATGAACTGATCAAAAAGACTTTATCTTGTCATTTGTGCCATGCGAACGAGAAAGGGCAGTCTGTGACAGAATCGTGAGTGGGTCTCTCAACTACATCGCCGTTCAATACCTACAGCAACAGCTCAGGCCGGCTCACCGCCTGCTATCGTCACTCGATGCGCCTAGCAACATGTATCCTTTACCCGCAGGGGACTAATCGGCTGTCCAGGGCGCCGGGCGCAATCAAATGAGTCTTGACAGCTGTCGCAAAAAGCAGCAACTGCTTAGCGCAGCGCGCCCCATGCGCCGAACGATGGATTCGTTTCCTTGTCCAGATCACGATACAGTGGTCCTGTTCCTGAGATGCGTGGAAGTCCTGGTGCGATACCCAAATCAGGCTGCGATCCTCAATTGTCGGGCCGCGCTCGGGCGGACTCTCCACCAATCTATTGCACAAACACCACGGCTGGCGATCATCCGCTCAAACATGAAGACAGATTACGCCATTGTCTACTGAGTACTAGAGTTCAGCGAAATGTTCTTTGTCGTATGACTCGAAAATAATAATCAATTGTGGCATCTATCACTAATCGACGTTGACCCGACCGCAAGAGCCATGTTTTCGCTGTCGTGGGGCTCAGCTGCTTGCCAGTCATGTACCCCTGCACTAGCGTGCCCAGCCCAGTGGCTGGTGTTTTCACGATCTCTCATTTCAGAAGTTTATTGTATTCGCTGCATTTACCGCTTCTGTGTCCCCAGAATGCGGCCGAACGAATTGAGTCATTGGCCTGGCGGCCGGGTACCACAGCACGCAATCTGCTCTCCCACGAACCAGGCATCCACTTTGCTTTGTACTCATTCGGTTCCAATGTAGACAGTTGGACAGCAACGTTCATGAGACAGCAACACCAACGTCCGTCTCACCTGGGGGAAACGATTGACTAACGGCATAGCTAGATATGTCTCGGTACCAGGCGCCTGCCGCCTCCCGAATTGATCTGCTATCTACGGCGCATTGTAATGGTTGCCTCGAGTCTGCACATGGTCGGCCAAGTCACAAGATGATGATGCTAGTCGCCCTGCATCCGAGTGCGACTCTTGGTGTTGCGTTTGGGGGTCTCGCCGACTGACAGGCCCAAGTTCCAAATACCACCCCTGGGCTCGTGTTCGAATCCAAATGACGTCGCCAATCGCTAGAGAAGGATATGCGTCTAGATCTCGCCGAGCTAAGGTTGGTTTGATATCGTCGATTTCTCGCTTGAAATCCCATTTTCATGATGAGATTCCCATCATTACTGACTCGAACCCTGTCCGGATCTACCACTTCCGCGGCGCAACTTCGTCTCCCAGATCGGCGAGCATCTCTGCAGGATCCCGTCCCCAGCTCAACATCATGACCAGAATAGCAGCCTGATTCTACCCACAGGTCTGGATCACCCGCCCCTGCACCATGAATCGCCATCTTGTGTTACGTTTGGGCAGCCCAAGTAAATGGGTAGAATGACTCTTGTGACAAAGTGGATATGATAGGATCGTGTGCGACTGTACAAAATGCCCTATTTGTGCCCAACGATGAGGGTGTGCAACTAAATGGATCGACGGGGCAGTCTGTCACACAAAAGCATGAGCAGGGTTTACAGACATCATGACGAAAGAGGGGGTGCTCATTGACACCCCGTGATCTAGATGTCACTGGGTGTGATTGTTATGATTAATAACTCCGTGTATGTGTCCGAATGCGTGGGTTGCGAAGGGGAAAGTATCGCGGTGTTTACTGTCGCATTCGCACTGCACGAAGCCTGCTGCTGGCGGTCGTATACCATGCCTGTCGCCAATAGGAGAACGGAAACGCTGTGACTCTCTCGGGCATCGCAAGCATACCCCGGGTCCGCGCACGCGATCAGTAATCTACCCCTCAGGAGATGTTTGGCAATCCGCCGCTGCTTTTGGTCACCCCTACAGGAATTGTGTAGGATGACGTTCTACTATGGTCAGGGACATAATATCTGTAGAACGCTGTAGACGTGTAGCACGACACGGCTGCTTCATCGTCAGTAGCGTCGTGCCTTGGTACCGGAACCTGGGTTTCCAAAGCCATGGAACTACCCTGCAAGCAAGGATTCTGAGCATCACGTGTCCCGAGGTCCACACCCGGGCTGGCTCATTGTTATCTTGGACTTTTGCCAGCCAATCAAAGCCGAGACCTTCACTTGCGTGAACTCCGCCCAAACAGTCGCTGGAAGAAGGAGCATTTCATGTTGCTAGCGTTCTCCTCCAATTTCTTTTTCTTCTTCTGCTGTCATCTCTCGAGCTCTCGCATATTGCTGGCCTTGCAAGGAAAGCACAAGAGTAGACAAGACAGGCTATGTAACACGGACAGGTTGCATCAATTGCTCATTCTCAGCATCCATACTTTCTCGTTCGAAGGGAGAATTACACAATACAACTGCTGGTTTTGAAGGCGGGGTAGCCCATCATTTCTTTTCCGTCCTCTCTATGCATCTTGGTGTTGTGTGTTGTTGCTAGCTTACCCTGAGAGAAGGGAAAATAAGGGTAAACAGGGTTTACAGAATACAAGTCACGCCACGTCATGGTACCAGATCCCGCCCGTTTCAGGGTCTTCCAACTTACACTGTCCTACACTCGCGCTTCTAGCATCGGCGCGTCCTTACTGGATATCACACCCATCCATAACCCCGTTCAGAACTCGATGGTCACACATGAGAAACGGGCAGGATACCACTAGTCGTACCGTCATTGCTACACTCGTAAACTCCCCTTCCCCTTGTCGATCTCACCATTTAGTCTTTGAGAGCGACACTCAGGTACAATAATAGTGATACGTGGCTGTGCTGATCCAGATACGATTGATAAGATTGAACAAAGATGTGCATTGACGAGGCTGAGACTAGTGGGGGCATCTGAAGTCCGGCCACCATACAGGGGACTACAGTGTAGGAGGGTGAGCAGGTGAGAGGAGGGTTAGCGAAAATACCAGGACATGTAACGTGTCTAGGGGCCTTGGATTAGATTAGCCGAGGGCCAGGAGGGGAAAGGTAGGGTCGGGTAGAGAGAAAAGTGCCCAGATGAGAAAAGAAGAAGGAAAATGTGCGTTGACCGCGTGCGTGGCGTGTGCTAGATGGGCTACGTTCGAACTCGTGTGTATACGGCAGTGTTCAGAGCTTTTGCACGATGAGCATCGGTGAGGAAGATTCTTTTACGAAAGCATCGATTATGAGCAACACGAAATTCGCATAGCACCAGGGGCTTGAGCGCATGGAATTTTGCAATATCTCGCCAAGAGGTTTGAAAGCCGAAGATGCTGAAGCAAGAAAAATAAAAGAGCATTCTGAACACTTGAACTTTGTAACACACCATCTAAATTTGAACCACTGACCACATATAGACACCACGGACAACGTTTTACGTGGACCCTGAAATCTTGCGAACTTGAATGGATGAGGGTCTGGACTGGAAATCAACATGGTGAAACGCACTGACTGCGAGGTGGTGGTGGTTGAAAACACACTGCTCTCTCGCTTTCGTAGCGACAGCCGGACTGGAACAGAAGGTAAAAAGGAAAAGAAAGGGAGTGAGTGGGTGTGTTACGAATCCTGAAATAACCACGGACAACGTTGGTATGGACCCTGCCCGTCTGGACTGAGGATCTGGACTCTCAGGACCCCTAGGAAACAAAAACATGAGGAAGCTGGGAGAGTGATCAACGCACTTTCCACCATGCCGTACCAGAGTCGTCTTTCTCGAAACAAATCCCGCAAAGCTTGGGGGATGAACAAGAAGGGAGGAAAAGAATGGTGTAGATCATACGCACTGACTTGGTACGTTGAGGCGAGAGAGAGGAAGTCTCGGAGAACGCCTATGTGCAAACCACGCTGAAGAGTTGTGAACCGCCATGATGGACGGCAAACCCTGGAACCGAAGCATGCTTGAGCGCAACAAAGTTCAACACCATAGCCAGCCGGAGAGCGCGAGGGTCAAAACATTTGCATGGACCCTTTAGGGTCCGGAACGAAAGGGAAAGAAAAAAAGATGAAGATGTTGAGCGCACTTACCACGTCGGCAGCAGAGAATACCAGGTGAACGAGCGCGATCCTCAGCTCTCTTGAGCTGCTGTTCCCATCGGCTCACTCATGCCCAGTTAGTCAGCCATTCGAGCGCAACAAAGTTCAACACCATCACTCGGCCGGGGCGAGAACTAAAAAAAACTTGGGCCAAAACATTTGCATGGACCCTTTCGCTCATCTTAAGGGCCCGGAACGAAAACACAAAAAAAGATGAGGATGTTGGGCGCACTTACCATGTCGGCAGAATACC